CCTAGGCTTAAAGCGATGCCTAGGTAGAGTTCTTCTTTAACTACCTCCTTAATTGTGTCCTAGATTATCGTCTTAAAGCTCTTATCCGCGCGGAGTACCGCTAATAACGCGCTATTAGCGCGGCTCTTTACCTTAAAGAGCCGTTTAACTACTACTTATACCTTACTAAATTATACGCTTAGGATAAAGCCTATAAGTTCGTTATATACTACTTTTTCTATAAGGTCGCTCGGCGCTTAGGCTAGTATTATATCGCTACTTTAGGTTTATTAACTTACTTTATTAAGGTATATAAATTTAGGTAGCGTCTCTTTACGCTATACGCTTTAATTAAGCCCGGTATATTAAAGGCCGCTACTATATTTACTTACCCCTTAGCCTTAGTATAGTATTATTACTAAGGGTAATTAATACTATTAAATTAATTCTTAGTATTAGTTAGTATTTTAGTCGCGATATATACCCGCTATAAGTATATATTAGTTTTATAAGAAGGTTTTTTTTTAAATATATTAAAACTATATTAATAGTATTAATAGCTATAGTAAGATAAAGCGGTTTAATAAGGGCTTTACTATATTAATTAGCTATAAACTAAACTTATATTAACCTCCCTTAATATTCTTTTTAGTTAAGCTAGCTTACTAAGATTTATAATAGATATAAAAGAAGGTAGCTTTATTAATTAGCGCTATATTATAAAAAGATATAATTTTCTTAAGTTAATATTAATATATAGCCTTAATAAGTAAGAAAACTAATATATTAAGTAGTTAAAAGATATATAAGGAGTATAATAATAAGAAAAGAAGATATATATTATTCTTAAAGTATATATATATATAATAATTAGTTTAATAACTCTTATAGCTATTAATAATAAGAAGAGTATATAATATAATTAAAAAAAAACTTCTTATAAAACTAATATATACTTATAGTAAGTATATATTACGACTAAAATACTAATTAATACTAGGAATTAATTTAATAGTATTAATTACCTTTAATAATAATACTATACTAAGGCTAAGGGGTAGGTAAACGTAGTAATAGCTATTAATATACTAGGCTTAATTAAAGCGCATAGTATAAAAAGATACTACTTAAATTTATATACCTTAATAAAGTAAGTTAATAAACTTAAAGTAGTAATATAAAACCGGCTTAGGCGCTAAGCGACCTTATAAAAAAAGTAGTATATAATAAACTTATAGGCTTTATCCTAAGTATATAGTTTAGTAGGGTATAGGTAGTAGTTAAACGGCTCTTTAAGGTAAAGAGCTATAGTAGTAGTATATTATTAGCGGTACTTTACGTAGATAAGAGCTTTAAGATAACGATTTAGGAAGTAATTAAGGAGGTAGTTAAGAAAGAACTCTACTTAGGTATTACTTTAGGCTTAGGGGGCCCTAAGCGAACCTAAGCCGCGGTCGTAGCTAAGACTAAAAGACTAACCTAATATAAAGCTATAGTAAAATAAGTCCTACTACGCTATAAATATAAGATTATCGTAGTCCTTATTAAGGCGCCGCTTAAAATCCTAAGCCGCGAACTAAAAGATATAGTAAAGGCGGTAAATATAGCCTTAAAAGCTATAAGCGCTATAGTAGCGAAGCGCTTTTAAAGCGGAGATATCGCGGTTATATTTAATATTACGGCGAGAGCTTACTAAAAAAACTAAGGCTAGGTTAAAGCTATATTTAGACTAGAGGCTATAATTACCTACTATATATATATAAGGTAGTAATAAAAGATAGGGAGTAATTACTTTATAAGATTATAAAGGTAAATAAAGTTAAGGTCTTTTAGGCTTAAGCGCTATACCTTTAATTTAAGATATCGATAGTAATAATTATACTTATTAAGGTTAATTTAAGGAACTATTAATATTAAAGGTCTTAACCCTTAAAAGTTATAAAGGGAGTTAAGGCCTAGCTTATAGTAAAGATATATTTAACTATTATAGTTTAATAATATAATCTTAGCTACTTTTTAAGAGTCTCTTACTTTTTTAAGCTCCTTAGTATTAGACTATTAAAGCTAAGGCCCTTAAAGATACCTATTTTATTTATATTAAGGTAGGACTTTAATAGGATTACTTATATAGCTAGTAGCTTAAGTAATTAAAACTATTCCTTAATATAGGCTATAAAGGCGCCGTTAATATAAGTAGAATTAAGAGATCTACTTTTAATAGTATTAATCTCTAGGTTTTAAGCTAAAAATCTTAAAATCTATTACTTCCTAAGTAAATATATATCACTGCTAGCTTTAACGATATAGCTAGCGAATTCCTTAACTTAATAATATATTAAAGGTAGCTTAAGGGCGGCTTAAGTAAGAACCTAGTTAGTAAGGTATTTTTCTTACTTTTAACTAAGCCTTTAATATACCTCTTTTACCTTTTTAATAAGTAGAGCCCCTTTAAAATATATATAAAGGGTCCTTCTTAAAATACCTTACCTTTAACTAGTATAAAGCTAAGGTATCCCGTTTTTAATAGCTTTAAGTATTATAAAGTAAGTAAAGGTATAGGCTTAAGTACGGTCTATTAAAAAAAGGTTAATAATCTATAAAGGGGAAAAAGAAGAAAAGTATAAGCCTAGCCTATATAAGCGCGGAGGCCGCTTATATATAGACTTTGCCTAGATATTAGTCTAGGCCTATATAGGGTAAAAGCCCTTATATTATACCCTTACCTAGCTTTTAAAGAGGCGCGCCTTTAAATAATACTTAATACCGCGCTTAAGAGAACGGAACCTTTATATAGACTACGTACGCTTAGTCGCGGAAAAAATATTAGTAAATAACGTATAATACCCTCTTAAGCGAGCTTCTTAAATAAACTATATTATTAATAAGGGCCGCGCCTTAAGAGTCGGGCTTTAGTACTTTTAGCTAAAAAGTAAAGGTAAGTAAAATAGCGTATAGCTAGCTTTAATAAGCTTATAGTATCCCGCCCCTCTTATATTAGTATACGGTAGTAGCTTTTAGTACTATAATATAAGGGATAGTACTTTAGTATATAAGGCTCCGCTCCCTCCTATATAGGGCTATATAGGCACTCCCTTTTACTATAGTTATATTATATTAGCGGCCTTCCTATATCTTAGCCGCCCTTTTAGTCGCTATAGGTATACGTCCTATTTATATAATAGCTGCTACTATACGTAAGGGGACGCTAATAAAGCCTATAGAGGCGTTACTAAGATTACTTATTACTAGAGTCGCTATTATCGAACCTTACCTCCTTTTTATCTTAGCGCGTACGCCCCTCTACTACTTAGAGTACGTTTACCCGCGCCTCTTAGCGTAGGTACTTTAAAAACTAATAAGATTTACTACTATAGCCTATATAGCGACCCTCCTATCGCTACCTCTTTCTATCCTTAGTCCTTAAGGCGGAGATAGAGATATTTATAGTATTACTAGCGTTATTCTCTTCTTATATTATAGAAGAAGACGAAAAAAGAAACTTATTACTACTAAGCTTATAAAGAAAGTAGATAAGATCGGTATATATATTTAGTAATATAGACCTTTTACTTAAATAGGTACGCTAATCTATATTTAAGCTTATAATAAGGTAATTATACTTTACTACGTTAAGCTAGCTATATATATATACTTAATAAAGCACCTCTTTAAACTATATAAGGTAGGCCGGAATAACTTTACTTTACTTTTAATAGAGCGTTATAAGCTCTTAGCCTACTAACTTAGCTATATTAGGTTCGCTATAATTAATATAAAGCTTTATAAGGAGGTCGGCTAGTCCGTTTATACTAATACGCGTAAATAGTAAGAGATACTTTTATAGGTATAAGGATAAGCTCGCGTAAAGATAGTTAAATTAAGCGCGGATATCCCTTATTATAGCGCTATCGGTATAGAGCTTTACTTTTATATAAAGTAGCTATAGCTCGAGCTCTACGGAGGAGCCGTCGAACTTACTAAGGTATAGTAGTACCGCTCTTAGTTATACGGAGCCTTACTATTATAAGAGGCTCTTAATTGCCTAGGTAAACTAAGTATTACGTTTACTTTAATTTTATAACTATAGGAGTACGGATATTTTACGTGCGTATATACTAGCGTAGGCGGTTTAACTAGACTAGGTAATTAAACGTCGACTTTAAAGGCAGCTAAAAATAGCTATTCTATATATAGGGATATAGAGAGGGTAAAATAAAGGGTAGATTATACTATTATAGAGTAGGTAGAGGCGTAGGCTTAGGTATAGTCTATTAAAAGAAGGTTAATAATCTATAAAAAGGAAAAGGAAGAGAAGTATAGGCCTAGCCTATATAGGCGCGGAGGCCGCTTATATATAGACTTAGCCTAGACCTTAGTCTAGGCCTATATAGGGCAAAAGCCCTTATATTAAGTACTTCTTAGAGCTAGTTTTTAGTATACTTAGAAAGCTAAGGTATTACTAATATAAATAGTATTTATTTTAAAATTATAGGGCAAGTAATATACGAGAAAACGCGGTTATAATATAATATATTTAACGACGCGATAGTATTATAGAGAGTGCCGGTGTTAGGGTGTGCCGGACTTTAGGTGGGCTGACTTAGTGCTTACGCTAAGCTGGGTGTAAATGGTAGGTAGTCATCGGTAGGTGCGAAAGATTTTAGACAATCGCCCACGCATAGCAATTCCGCGTGTCTTCTATTAGTAGAGATGTTAAAGCTAATTAATGCCTGTCCGCCTCCTTTCCACTAGCTTAGTGGCCACATTTATAATAAAAACTTTCTTTAGTAAACATTGAGCTATATGCTGCCCCATCAGGACTAGGCTGATCGTCAACCGCATTGCTGTGGACACCGTTCGAGGTACGGCACCAATCAAGTGGCACGTGACCTCGACCTTATCGATAAACCCATACCAGTACGTAAACGACGTCGCGTCTGCGTCGTGTAAACTTTTGGCCTCGTAGCCGTCTGATTCGCAAACGCCTGAAAGTCGCGGACTCACTCCACGCCTCCTTCGATATGCAGCCCCAGTACCGTGCTTATGCGCAGCAAGTGCCCCAGAGGTCCCCGCATGCGCCCAACCAGCGCCGCGGAGGCATAGGTGCGAGAGCGCCGTGTGCCTGGCAAGCCGCCAGGCTGTTACCCCAATCTTCTGTACTGACTCCCAGTAGGCCCCATGATGTCTTCAGGGCCTCACCCTTCGGCCCCGCTCTCTCAAGCACAGATGGTGCAGCAGCAGCAAGCTCAAGCGCACGCAAACGAGCTGGCCAGGCGCCGCAGCCGGAAACCGACCGATAAGAACATACCCGATGGCGTCGAGGAGTGCATTGTCGACCCTGACGGCGTCCAACGATACAAGGACTTGAGAGACGTAGAGAGATGGCTGGATGCGACGACCACTCGAAAGCGTCTGGGCGTCTCCGAGAGTGTCAATCGTAGCCGTACCAATGTACGTCAATCAAGGCGTGAATGGAAACGCCTGCCACGTGCTTACAAAACTCTAGCTCTCCCGGATACTTCGTATACAGATCAGCAACACTGTCGAGGACCAGGTGTGGCAAGGCAGCGGCCTCAATGTGGACGCTTTCGACTTCACTACAAACATGGAAGCCTCGTATCGCGTCAAGATTGAAGGACGTCTTCTCGACGAGCAAGACGACGACAGCTCGGCAGATCACCGTGCCGAAGAAGGCTCAGTCGCCATCTCTGGCGTCTCAGACAAGATGGAGCAAGACGAGCAGCCAGCAACAAGCCAGAAGGCATCTCCGGCAAATGATGCCAGACATCGGCTTTCTCACTTCTTCAAGGCCCTGTCTGTCGACTTTGACCGTTCTCGTTTTCGAAATGGCGCGGAGCAAAGTATAGAATGGAAGAAGCCCGAGTCTTTGCCGAAGCCTCAAGCTGCAGGAAGCCTGCCACCTGCGGCTGATTTCGACGAGCTCACTTTCAAGCGTAACGGCGACGAAAATACAAACATTACCATCAACCTTTACCGGCACGAATCGCCCGAGCGCTACCAGCTTAGTCCTGAGCTAGCAGAGGTGGTGGACATGTCTGAGGCGACGCAACAGGAGGCTGTGATGGGACTTTGGGAGTATATCCGATACTGGGGGCTTCAGGAGGACGAGGAGAAGCGAAATTTCCGATGCGATGAGCTTTTGAAAAGGGTAAGTCGGGCAGAGACAAATAACGCCTGTTCAGTGAGCTGGCGGCTTACTTTCTTAACCAGGTTGTTGGCAGAGGAGACGTGGGATATATTCCCATGCTCAACGAGTACGTGGCGCAGCATCTCCAACCACTGCCGCCCGTCAGCCTGCCCTACACCATTCGGGTGGATGAGGAATTCCATAGGAACCCGCAGCCGACCGTGTACGACGTACATGTCTCCGTCGACGACCCGTTGCGGGCTGAGTTGCAGCCCTTGATCAACAACATACAGTATGCGACCATGCTGAAGGAGGTCACCGCCCTCGACGAGCAGTTGGCCCGACTCATCCAGGCAATTGCAGTATCCAAGACCAAGCATTCATTCTTCACATCCTTGAGCCAAGACCCAGCCACGTTTGTCAGCAACTGGCTGAGCTCTCAAAAACGCGACCTCGAGATCATCATGGGCGAGGCGTCGAGAGGTGGCGGCGAGGCTGCTCATGGGGACGAGTGGCGCAAGGGCGGTTCTGGCAGCGTTTGGGCGACCCAGAATGCGCGCGAAAGCGTCAATGTTTTACTTTCGAAGCAACGTTGAACCAGCGGCATTGAGCGATGGAAGATTTGTACGGAGTTGTCGCTTTGTGGTAATGGCATCCTCCTGGGCGTATAGGGGCATGGGGAGTGGGCGTTGGTAGGACTAGACTTGTCTCGTACAAATCATCACCGCATCCTGCGGGTGACGCCAAAATGAATTGACATGTCCGATTCTCTTCTCATTATGTACATGGTATAGTAAGGTAGCTGTAGCGTAAACTGCGGTGAGGTTTCATGCGCCCATCATAACATGCTTCAGTCAAGCCACGTTGTTCTCTCACGCTGTCTCAGAGCGCCGACAGTCGGAGGGATCTGCAACTGCCTGAGGCGGGCACTCGGAGTCGAGCGATCCAGAAGCTCCCAGAAAGGCCTGTAAGAGCCGGGTGCTATCGCTTTGGAGGAACTGGAACAGCCGGCATGTTTTTGATTTGCTTGATGAGAAACTCTCGCTCATCGATGAACTGCTCGTCATCGGTACGGTCTTCGAGAAAGTGCGAGAGAAAGGTCAAGAGCTTCTCGCGGTTCATGAGCAGTATTTTCTGAACAGCAATGGACTTGTGGGGGTTGGCCACAAAGACCTTGAAAACGTGGAATCCTTCGTACTGAACCATCTTCCTATCATCGCGGAGCAAATTCATACATATCTTGAGGTGGTCACCCCGATCTACATACGCCGTCATGACGCTGTAGTTGGAGCGATCCAGCAGGATCTCGCCAAGGAGCTTGATTGATTGCCTCTTGGTGACATAGCTGTTTGACTGTACAAGAGTACTATTGTACTTGTCGAAGAAGAGGTCGAAGTTGACGGAGAGGTAACGAGGGACGAGATCCTTGTGGCGGGTCAGGAGTTCCTGACAGTGTTGGTTGAAGTCAGCTTATCGAGACTCGCTCCTCGCGCCTATGGCAGCTCGGGCTTTGGGGGGCGGCGGGCTTACTCGGAAGGTAGTGAAAGCGTCGGCGGCGACTTCAAAGGAGCTCTTATCGATCCAATCAAAGAACCTCCAAAAGACGCCTCTGCCGCTCTGTGGCCTGTCACGATCAATTGCGTTGAGGCCTTTGGCACTGGACCCTGGTGCATCGCCATCGTCGTGGAGAATGATGGCGGCGGCAGCCTCATTCTTCAGCAGCTCGCGGAGGACGGATCCAGCGGGGGTAGCGCTCTCCTTGTGATCGTAGGCTCGACAGAGTTCAATAAGTACTTGCGGACGGTTGCAGACAACGTAAGACAGAGCTATCGGATCGCTCTTCGGGGCTGCAGCGGCCGGCCGGAAGCGAAAGACATAGGAGAAGATGACTTGGGTATCCTTTCGAGATTCAAAGGGCAGGCGGTATAGATTTACTGCGAGAAGGTGGAGGAGGTCCTCGTCGATGAGACCTGTGACGAGTTGGTAGATTTGTTCTGGGGAGCTGTCGGTCTCTGGCTCGTGGTGAGAGCCCCGTCAGCCTGAATCCAGGGGAGAGAGGCGGAGTAAGAGGCAGATGGAGCAGTCTAGATGAATCCACTGACCATGTGTGCCCTGTAGAACGAGTTTCATTTGATTCAGGACGCGGGCGAGCTCTTCTGCCTGCCCAGCTCGTCAGCAACAACGTCTGTGTGGCGTGAGAGGGTCTGGGGGACCTTTGAGGTTCCGTTGGGGCCTTCGAGCCTTGCAACATGTTCTCGGGCTTGCTTGGGCAGATCGGCAGCGGCTCGAGACCGTGCTCGGCCAAACAAGAACGACATGGTGCGCAGGGGGGATGAGGACGGCTTGGTTCGCGGCGGCGTCGAGGGTTGAGGCGAGGGGCGATTTCAATGATGACGTGTGTTTTTACGGTATAGCTGGGCTGTCGCACCGCTCCGTTCGCTGCGACTGGACAAGTGACTGGAACGTCAATCGGCTGACAGTCAGAGTTGACTTTCCACCTTGGGGTAGATTCGAGGGTTTTGTACTGGAGGCGAGGCAGAGCGATCTAGACATGCAGGCTGGAGCAGCCCTGAACGTCTGCTGTGGTCGCGACGTATGTAGGTGAGTGAGTTAGTCAGGCACGGCGCAGGGCCAAGGATCGGCAGTCTCGGGCGTGGGGAGTGCTGCGATGTGCCTCTGCTCATGTCTGAACCGTTTGCCCTCGGCGCAGGATTCGGATGATGGCACACGCGATGATGGAGGAGGATGGCTTGCGTCCGCGAGTCCAGCGCCTTACTAAGTCGAGGCACGCATCGTCCCCGACGCCATGCTTGTGTGCCCGGCCCCAAACTAACAGACCTATAGGCGCTAGGCCCATCCCACTGACCTAGACTTGATGCCGGTATTATGTAGGCAGTAGTTACGGCTGCGGGCCACTGACCTTGGAGAGGGAGGGGAGGGAAGGCAACTTGCATCTCTCTACGACGTGCTTTGATGACGTACGGAAATGGATAGACATGTGCAGGGACGAAGATTGTAGTCGCGCGTTGTTGTTCTCCCCTCGGCGGGAGTGATGGGTAAAGCAACCTGGAAATGGGTGAGAAGAACCTAAGGAGGGACCCTGTGTGTACATGCCCCTCTAGCCGCGCCCCGCAAACACCGCCAGCATCATTGACCAAGTAACTTACCCCCTCCCCTCCCCCTTCTCTCCCTTCGTTTTACGGACATTCTCCACTTTCATGATCGGCCAATTCACCGATCCTAGAGAAACTGAAAGCATCACAAGTTGGCTTAGACCTCAACGTACAGGGGAACAAATGCCAACAAGTTGAGTGGCAGGAGTGGCAGTCAAATTGGTCTGTCGTACAAGTACGGACACTCCTGCTGTGCTCTGATTTGCGGCCCGTGTAAATTTACCCCCCACCTGCCTACCTGGTAGTTAGACACGGTAGGGGAGAGCAAGAGGACCCCGCCAAACTTCAACCTCTCACGCCCACATTCACAGCCCTCATTTTTTGACCAAAGTGACTCATCCCGGTCGTGACCCAAAGACCCAAAAACAGTCACCGAGAGAGCCCGTCGTTTACTCTCTTGGTAGCAACAAAACACCAATCCCTCGAGCCTCGCAAATCTTGTCGAGTAAGTTCCCGGGGCAAATCACCATCGCAGTTTCAGGTCGGCAACTGACCAGGCGTCAGGCATACGAAAGCCCGGACGTCTGCCCGACGAGCGGCCACCATGTCCGTCAACTTCCCCAGGGAAGAAGAGGCCATCATCGAGCGATGGCGCGACATCAATGCCTTCCATCGCCAGGTGCGTGATTGCACAGAACGAACACCGAGTGCCGCCTATGCTCACCACCCCACCATCTAGCTTGAGCTTTCCGCCGGCCGTCCGCCTTACACCTTCTACGACGGCCCGCCATTTGCAACTGGCCTGCCTCACTACGGTCACTTGCTGGCATCCACTATCAAGGACATTATACCTCGTTACTGGTCCATGAAAGGCTACCATGTCGAGCGTCGCTTTGGCTGGGACACACATGGCCTGCCAATTGAGCACGAAATCGACAAGAAGCTTGGCATTTCGGGCAAGGCTGCTGTGACCCAGTTTGGCATCGACAAGTACAACGCCGAATGCCGTTCCATTGTCATGCGCTACTCGAACGAGTGGCGATCGACCATCGAGCGACTCGGCCGCTGGATAGACTTTGACAACGACTACAAGGTGAGATGAGCCCCGTGGGGGAAAGGAGAGAATGAAGCAACTCGATCCCGTGCACTGCTGTTGGTCAATTGTGCTAGCCCGTTTACTGACGCCTACCATCTCAAGACTATGGATCCAAAGTTCATGGAGTCCGTTTGGTGGGTATTCAAGCAACTCTTCGACAAGGGGCAGGTCTACCAAGGCGCCCGGGTCATGCCCTACTCGACGGCCCTGACGACGGCCCTGAGCAACTTCGAAGCCAACCAGAACTACCAAGACGTCACGGACCCAGCCGTCGTCGTTTCTTTCCCCCTTTTGGACGATCCGGACACCCATCTTCTCGCGTGGACCACGACGCCGTGGACTCTCCCGTCACATACCGGCCTGGCTGTCAACCCGGACTTCGACTATGTCAAGATTCATGATGAGAAATCTGGCAAGACGTATGTTCTGCTCGAGAAGCTTCTCGGCACCCTGTACAAGGACCCCAAGAAAGCCAAATTCACAATCGTGGGCAAAGTTCGAGGCCAAGAAATGCTGGGCTGGCGCTATAAGCCACTGTTTGACTATTTCTACGACGACTTCAAAGATGTCGGCTTCCGGGTGCTCGGCGGTTCTTACGTGACGGACGACAGCGGTACTGGGATCGTTCACCAGGCTCCAGCCTTCGGTGAAGAGGATTACAACGTGGCCATGGAGGCCGGCACCATCACCGAGAAGAGACCCCCCCCCGATCCGGTCAACGACACTGGCCACTTCACCGACCGCGTCCCCGATTTTGCCGGCATGCATGTCAAAGAAGCAGACAAACACATCATCAAGCATCTCAAGAACGCCGGCCGTCTTGTGGTCGATTCACAGATCAGACACTCCTACCCCATGTGCCCCCGGTCCGACACCCCCCTCGTATACCGAGCTGTTCCATCCTGGTTCATCCGCATACCCGAAATCATCCCCGTTATGCTGAAAAACATTGAAGGATCTCACTGGGTCCCATCCTTTGTCAAGGAGCGCCGGTTTGCCAACTGGATCGTCAATGCCCGCGACTGGAACGTGGGGAGAAATCGTTACTGGGGTACGCCCATCCCTCTCTGGGTCAGCGATGATCTGGAGGAGCGCGTCTGTGTGGGAAGCGTGGAGGAGCTGCGGGAGCTGAGCGGCTACGAGGGGGAAATGGTAGATCTCCACCGGGACAAGATCGACCACATCACGATTCCCAGCAAAATGGGCAAAGGCACACTCAAGCGAATCAACGAAGTCTTCGACTGCTGGTTTGAATCGGGAAGCATGCCGTATGCCAGTCAACACTATCCATTCGAAAACGTCGACAAGTTCAAGCAGTCGTTTCCAGGAGACTTCATCGCCGAGGGTCTCGATCAAACAAGGGGCTGGTTCTATACGCTGCTTGTGCTGGGCACCCACCTGTTTGGCTGTATGCCGTTTCAGAACTGCGTCGTCAACGGCATCGTGCTTGCCGAGGATGGGAAGAAGATGTCGAAGCGGCTGAAGAATTACCCGGATCCCACCCTCGTGATGAGCAAGTATGGGTCGGATGCGCTCCGCCTCTATCTCATCAACTCACCCGTGGTGAGAGCAGAGCCACTGCGATTCAAAGAATCTGGGGTCAAGGAGGTTGTCCAGAAGGTGCTACTGCCTCTGTGGAATAGCTTCAAGTTCTTTGAGGGCCAAACGGCTCTTCTGAAGAAAAACGAAGGTGTCGACTATATATGGACGCCCGAGAAGCAGTCGCTCAACACTAATGTCATGGACCGTTGGATCTTGGCGAGTTGCCAAAGTCTCCTGCAATTCGTCAACGAGGAAATGCGCGGTAAGCAGAATATGACGATATGCTTCCAGCTTGATGGTCTGACACCTAACAGGATATCGGCTGTACACCGTTGTTCGCCGGCTTCTCGGGCTTCTTGACAATACCACCAACTGGTATATCAGATTCAACCGCCGGCGACTCAAGGGAGAGAACGGCCTGGAAGACACGCAGCACGCGCTTGATGCGCTCTTTGAGGTCCTGTATACCCTTTGCCGGGGCCTTGCACCCTTCACGCCCTTCCTGACGGATACCATCTACCTCAAACTTCTGCCACACATCCCGGAGCACCTTCAAGGGACGGACCCTCGAAGCGTCCATTTCTTGCCCTTCCCAGAGGTGCGACAGGAACTTTTCGACGCTCAGGTGGAGAGAAGAGTAGCGAGAATGCAGCGAGTTATTGATCTCGGCCGGGTCTCGCGCGAAAGGAGGTCTATCGGTCTCAAGACTCCGTTGAAGAGCCTCGTGGTGATAAATCGTGATCCACAGTACCTCGACGACGTCAAGTCGCTTCAGAACTACATCACGGAGGAGCTGAATCTGCGAGACCTGGTTCTCTCTGGGGATGAAGCCAGGTACAATGTTGAACTCAGCGTGACTGCCGACTGGGCGGTCCTGGGCAAGAAGTTGAGAAAGGACTTGGCACGAGTCAAAAAGGCGCTCCCGGGATTGAGCAGCGAGCAGGTTCAGGCCTACATGCGACAAAAGGAAATTTTTGTGGATGGCATCCGATTGGAAGAAGGAGATCTTGTCGTGCATCGGGGCCTACGAGAAGATGCAGCCTCCAAGAGCCTGGAAGTCAATTCTGACAGTGAAGCACTGACAATCCTCGACGCGGAAATCTACCCTGAATTGGCCCAGGAAGGTTTGGCCAGAGAGGTCATCAACAGAGTTCAACGACTCCGCAAGAAGGCTGGCCTTCAGGCCACGGACGACATAAGGATGGAGTACCGCGTCATGTCTGACCCGGAGGATGTGGGCTTGGCAGCGGTCTTGTCGTCGCATGAAGCCGTCTTTGCGAAGACGCTGCGCCGGCCGTTGGAAAGACTTGAAGACGACAGCGATGTCAATGACATGATTGTCGAGGAGGAACAGGAAGTGCAACATGCGACCTTCCTGCTAAGGCTGCTAAGGCTTTGAGAGGCATCCGCAGACTAGTTCGACAAGGCTCTAGAGCACATCGGATACTTCAAACAGCGTGTGCACGTACTTGGTAGCGTCATGCATGTCACAGCTGTTCTGGGCAAGTCATGCTGAGTGTTCAGGCTCTACGTCGACGTATTGCGATTGGACAGGACGTGGACGGAGAAAATGGGGGGAGGTAGAAGTTTTATTTCTTCGCGACAGCCTTCTGCAGATGAAAATGGTGAGAAGGTCATCTCGTCGACTGCCAGGAAGGGGGGGCTGGGACACACAAGATAACATGTTTTCAGTCTCCTGAATTCGGTTAGGCACTTGTCCTTGTCTATGGCGTTGTAGTCGGCCACGATACACTTTCCGTAAGCGGTGGCCTGAAGAGACGTCGAGTTAGCCGTTAAACGGCTGGAGAGATGGAAGCCCCCCGCACACGCACCTCAGCCGAGCACTGGGATACCGCCGCGGCAAGCTTCTGGATTGGGCGTTGTGTTGAGCGGGCCATGTCAGACTCAATCGATGTTGGGGGTTCTGGTGCCAACTGGTTTGACGGGTCGACCTCAAGGCTTTCTGACAACGAGATGGCCCCACACCTCCCCTTACCCGTGACCCCCCCAACTCCCGTGGGTGGCCCCACACGTCAACTGTTTACAATGCCGGGCAGGCAAGACGCGCTTCGCATCCATCCAAATCCCTACTCTTCGGCAGCCAGGTTATTGCGCTCCTCGCAAACGTTTTCCGCCGAGTCTCCCGCCCGCTCCTGCGACGCTCTGGATTTTTCTTAAGTACCAACGGCTCGTCTTGTCTTGCGCGCTGTCGCACCACCGGGCTGAAGCGCTGGAATTCTCTCGCGGTCGTCTTGTGGGGGTGTAGCTTCGCAGTGGCGCGAACGGAGCTCAACCGGCCGACCTTGCAAATCGACCAGCCACGATTAGCCTTTTCCTCTCAGCCAAGATCGGCTCGACCATGGCTCGGTGACGGCACTTCTCCGCCTAGTGACTCGACTGGCGGCCTCTCGTCCTCACCGTAACCCCGTTCGCGAGCCAGATGCTTGCCTAGATGCAGTCGCAGTCGCAGGCTCGCGACCCTAATCAGTTGCCCGATGACGGCCACGCTCTCACCACCACCTTGACTAAATCCGAGCATGACACCTACTACTCCAACCGCGGTTTGGCTCCTGTACATGTCTTTGCTTCAGAGTCTCCGTTGTGCTGATGAGTTGTCCCAGATATTGCCATCTTACATGCCATCGTCGCGGCTGCCCAGCATCAGCTCGACCATGCCCCCCACCCTAAGCCACTGCCCGCCGCAGCGCTGTTTAAGGCGTACGACGACATCCTCCCGGATTTTGGCATCGACCCAGATTCCGATTACCACCTGTCCGCTTTTGTCTTTCGGGTTGGAGGCGAACAGGGCCATGGCACTCTGTTCGATAAATTCCAGGCGGTCCTCGGCCGCATGGGAATCGTACTCGAGTTCGGTGACGATACAACAACCTCAGCTCGGACGTCACCCTCTTCTCCCTCGCCGGCTCAGTTACGCTCTAGTCGACTAAGTCTGGGTCACGGGCAGCGCATTACGACTAGCAAACCCCCTCGAAGCGATATCCCGTGCGACCCGAACTCCTCAGTAGCTACGGGTGGTGTGGCTTCGTCCCACGCCAATGATTATTCTCCTCGCCGCAGGTCGCAATGGGAAGGTCACAATGTGGACGCAACTCGGACAGAACCTACGGCCTCTGTCGTAAGCCTACACGATGATCCAGGGCCTCGTCCTGAACGCAGCGAAAATCATCAAGACTCGCACAAGGTCAGTATTCAAGGCTCTCGTGTCGATTTCCAACTGACGTCGAAGCTGATGTCCATTACTGTAGGACGTGGAAAAGCCCTTGCTGGAGAGTCGACGGCCTACTTTGGTTTCTGCACTCGATCTTTGTCGCAACCATGCGGTGGCTGAATATCTGCAGGGAGGGAGACGTATGAGCCCTGTTGATGGCCAGGAACAGGAATCAAGGACTGGGGCGCACAATGGGGATCACCAGGATCTTCAGAGATCGACAGTATCGGAACTGATGGCAACGGGAAAGCGCCTTCGCCCCGTCTTGCACGAACACTCACTCGATAGCATCCCGGCGGAACTGGAGAGCGTTCAACCTCAGGGACGGCAATCATCCCACACCTCGCAGAGTACCAAAGAGAGCGGGCCTGTATATGTCTATTTGCAGCGCGCAGGACGCCATCTACCAGACCCGCCTGTAACCAGCGACATGGGCTTTCGCCCAGCGCAGCAAGAACGCCTCTTGCATCGCGCGGCCAGGGCTCGACAGATATACCTGGCCAGTAAAGTCTTCAACCTTTGGGCCGACCGGACTGCGTTGAGGCTTGAGCGAGAGGCCGTGGCAAGAAGACACATGATTCGATTTCGCTGTTTTCGGGGATGGAGCGAGGTCCCGAGTTCTAAACTGCCTGCCGCCGATAATCTAAGGGTCGCCACGGCCGTGCAGAAGCTGCGACGCGCTGTGATGCATCAGGAAGAGCAACTCAGCCTCGCTGCGTCCGCCATCGCCCGGACTTACCATGTCAACCTGGCCCGGCGTGTGTTTGAGCGATGGATATGCCGAGTTGCCGAGCATGCGCTTCGCCACAAGCTTGCGAGCTGGAGTAAGTCAGTTACAGCCCGAGATTGGAAACGGCTTGCTTGGGAGAACGCCGAATCCAGGCGTGCGGCATTGGCGCACACTGCGCGCTGCGGCATAGTTGAGGTGATCGACAAATGGAGCTGGAAAGCCGCAGAAGGCAGGGGACAGCTTGGTGCCGCACAGCAGGTCGAGACGGTTCGCCTAGTTTTTGCCTGCTTGGGAGAGTGGTTGGACCAGACTGAGCTCAAACGGCGGAGCCTAGCATGCGAGCGAGGCTTGCTAATGAAGCGAACAAGCATAACGTTCGATGCTTGGAATATACGTGCAAGGGCACAGGCATTCCGCTGGAAATGCGAATACTCGACAGCAACGAGCACACTTGGCACGTGGCTCGAAAGAACCACCCAGGATCGCCATTCAAGCAGTGTAGCGCATTGCCAATACGAACTCATGTCCAAAGCCAAGCTGGGCAGGCAAATCAAGCAACTCGATCGAAAGCACGCCAACCTATCGTGTTTGCAGAGTCGAGCTCGCCTCTACATTGGCTGCAACCTACTGCTGGAAACGTTTGCTAGAGCAGCTCAAGAACGCAAGACTCAGATGAAGGGCAGCATCAGACGATATCTCATGTTGAGGTACACCCAGGTCTCGTCGAAGAGAAGAAAACGTATTTTTTTGACCGCCTTGGATCACTGGAGGACTGCGACAGCGGGGGCACTCGATGCGGCGCTTACGGCTGATGAATTCATGTCAACAAGGGCGACTGTGCGGCGTCTTGTGGCAGTCGCACACTGGAGCAGCCAGGCGGCCGTCGAACGACAGGCTCACTTTGTTGCCCAAAATCATTGCAGAGAGGCGTGGTTGAGGTTATGGGACGAGTGTTCGGCTCGACAAAAGTACCGACATGCGCAGGCCTGGCGGTTCTGGGCACTGGAACAGGAGCGTCTGTGTTTCAAAGTATGGTCTATAGCGACTCTGCAGAGAAGCGGACAGGCACACACCGCCATCGTGGCTCAGCAACGACACAATCGTGAGAGTCGGAGCCGGGTCCTCCAACGATGGAAGGCATCTTCTCAAGCCAACAGACGAGGCACGCTCAGTCAGCAGTTAAGACTTATGGAGGGGCCCGGGCTGCCCGTTGGCCCTCGCAACCGCAGTGCAGGCAGGGCGCCCCCAGGTAGGCTTTGGTCGAGCAAGCAGGTTGGGTACGTGACCCTTCCCATGGAAACCCCAACCCGCTGGACTGGATTGCCAGTGCCCATGACGAACGCCCTGTCGTCTAGACTTACGGCCATCGTGGGGGAGACGGATGAGGGATCGGAACCTGCCACAGTCTCTTTCGGGGGCGCGGAGATCAAGGGGTCGCGTCATGGAAGACTCGCAGACTCGATGCTCACTGCACCAACGTCGACCACCCCCCAGGCTCCGCTGCCGGCACAACTCGAGCGCAGGATGCGAGGTTATTCAAGACCAGGATATCCCGGCCGCAGTGAGCTTGGAATATCCGTGCGTGCCAGGCCTGACTTGCGGCCAAGCAGCCCATGGCACACGCCGGTGAAGTCGGCAGAAGCTGTGAGTAGCAGTCTTGGTGGCTTTGATTTCAGCGTCGGTTCGCAACCCTTGGTCTCAGCCCCCGGGAGGGTGACTGAGTTGCGACGCACGGGACCGCGCCAGGATTCGCAATATGTGTCGGTCACTTCCCCTGTTGGAGGGGGAGGGGTTGGACTGCGTGGCTCGATGCCTCAACGTACTGGCTCTCGGCCACCTGGCTCTAGTCAAGTGGGCGTTGGGTTACAGCAACGTGACACGGCTGATCAGGTCGAGGAACTTGCCCGTGCCTGAAAATAGGCTATGAGTTGTAAAGAACTGGCTCAGCGGAAAATTAGTTGATGTGGCTAAAACTAGAGGTGATAGGTTTAAAAATCCCTCGTTAAATATATATATATATATGAATAGTAGATGTAACAGGATTAGCTGGCCCTTGTATTTGCTTGATCGCAGACCAGGCTGTCTCATATGTTTGTGGTCAATTGACAAAGCTGTTGCATAGTCAACTTGGTTCTCTTTTGCTGCATGCCACATTGCCACTATGGTGACTGGGGGGTCTACAGTAGTAGTAGCGCGACCACTGCTTTTGCCCACCAAACCAAGACACTCATAGTACCTAATACGTATTTTAATACCTAACGTATAATGAGATAATTAAGTAATGAAATTTCTACATTTATGCACGCTGTTGCTTAAAACAGTAATATACTTACTCTAAGAGTATGCTATTGTGTAAATAGCAATACTCCTCTATAAATACGGTATCAGAAAGAAAGTAAAATATACTAGGTATTAAAAGACAAAATGTGCTACTATTAATAACCTTTTCTCCGCGCTGAAGTCGAGTGTTGGTCGGTAGGCTGGTAGGATAGCTGCCCTACCGGCTTTCCCTTGAGCCACGATAAGGCGCTGATAAGCAACGCGCGCGATGCTGTCACGTCGCCTCGAAACACGACCTTGATTCCACATACCAGATCGCCTTTATCGGAGCAAGTCGCGGGAGCTCATACAGACATGTGCTCGCGCAAGATTGCCCGGTAGTATGATTACCGTCCTCCCAGGCAGGCCACAGTCGAGGCTCCAAGGCCTAACCACGGGCTACTGGAACAGCTGTCACCACAATGTGAGGCGCGAGGTCCCCAACTCGATATTGGCGAACATGGCTAATTTTGTCATCGTCGCCAGGCATACATCAGCGGGAGTGCCTTCACCGTAATCCAGGGACTACAAACCATCATCCAGACTGTATACGACGATGCCGAGCATCAGCTGGAGGCTGTTGTGCTGGACGAAGACTCCGGCAAGATTGCGACTTGCACCAACGCCGAGGTTCGAATCTACCAGCCAGTCGGCTATGACGACGGCTCTTTAAAGGTGACAGCGCCCCTGGCCCATCTCACCGACTACTGCGGCCTTTGCTCATACACGACAGTGGGTCCAACAATCTCGCTTCGATATTCCTCACCCGAGCTCCGGCAACGCGTGTTCTTTGTCTTGGGGGACTTCGGAGGAGCTCCTGGTGGCTACCGGCTCTCTCTCCCTCTTCAACACCAAAGCGAAGCCGGTTTGCTCTTGGGACAAGACGCTGCCTAGCCCTGTCAGGTCAGCGTTCATCTCGCACGACTCGTCATATATTGTCTCGATCGGCCAGTTCGACCGTCTGCCCAAAGTGTGGCGGCGCCTCACATATGGTGGCCCTGATGAGGTCCGCTTCGACGTAGCATATCTCAAACATCCCGACGTGGTGACTTCGGTCAGGTGGCGCAGGCCTTTCCACCCCGAGCAAGCCGCTCACAATGTCTTGTACACAGTCTGCCTCGACAACTTCGTTCGCATATGGGGCTCATCCGACACTGCCGATGGCCGCCACTGGCAAATTTGGGGCAGTGTCGACTTGAATACAACATTCAGCGACTTGTCCGGCTCCGGACTGGTCTGCATTATTGATGGCCGCGAATTCACAGCTTCTGTGGAGCGTGCCGTGGCAGACAACCATAGCACCGATGACGTCGCTCTGGACCACATCGTGGCCGTTGCAAACAAAAACCCGGAAATCTGCATGGCCATCGATGGCTGCGGCACCATGTCGGCATGGGCACTTGAGAATCTCGGCATGGGCAGCAACGAGAGCCCAAGGGTATTTTCCATTGCTCAGGTCAAGTCGAAACAATTTGAGGACATGCGCGGATTCCTCAGGCTGCATGGCTCTACTCACGTTCAGGCACAGAGTTATTGCGACAGGGCAAACGGAAAACTGCGCATACTCCTCCATGCTTTTGACGGCAGAATCGGGATATACGAGAGCAACGTTGCCGACCTTTTCGACCCGGCCATCAACAACAGGCGCCTGTCTCTGCTAGCTGTCTGGTCTGGTCACTCGGCCCCCATCGAAAAGATGGTGCGTAACTTCAGTGGGCGGGCAGTCGTGTCGAGGACCAACAACGGGGAATGTATAATTTGGCGCCACTCGCACTCGCGATCGCGCGATCGAAGCATTGCGCTGACTCGCCAGAGTGTCGTTCCTGGAACACGTCACATCCACCGCATCTGCGTTCTCCGCAACGGAAACTTTGTCGTCTTTCTCTGCGAGGATGCAGTGTCGCTCTGGGACTGTCGCTATAGGACCGCATCCCTCCTAGCGCAGTGCCCGTTGCAGATCGCAGGCACGCCTCTCTGTCTCATTAAACTGCCTCGGCCCGAGGCGAGGAACACCAGAACTGCGCACATTGCCACCATTACTTCGGATCGTCTGGGTCTTGTTTGGAAGGTTGATCTGCCAGACTCCCTGGAAAACTCGGGGTGCGTGGAAGGCGCAGCCATTCGCGAATTCTGTCGATTTGAGCTGGGAATAGCAGAGGACTTCAAGTATGTTCTCCCTGTTGATCCGGCAGGCTCTTCCCCTGTCATGTCCGGCTTTCTAGATATTTTTGCCCGAGACGTGGCGATATCCTACACCCGCACTGGCCGAGTGGACTTTTGGGCGGTTCGAGTTGACCCCTTGCGCCGAGGCATCGATTGGTTATCGACATGCTACACGGAAACCGGAATCTCTGATCCAGCGCTGGCGAGTGGCAGCATGCTGAAAAAGGCGGCACTTGTGAACTCTGCCAGATCGCAAATCACCATTTGGGACATTGGGGGCTCCCGCCTCGAGTTTGAGGAAGACTACGGACCGGCAGATTCAATCCGGGATCTTGACTGGACTTCGACACCAGACGGCCAGTCCATCCTCGCTGTTGGCTTCCAATATCGCGTCGTGCTATTGTCCCAGATGCGATTTGACTACCTCAACAAAGGCCCAGCTTGGGCACCGATCCGGGAAATAGGGATTCGCGAGCTCACTCCCCATCCCATAGGGGACTCTACGTGGCTCGGCGATGGCCACCTGGTCGTTGGCGCCGGAAACCAGTTGCTCGTCTATGACCGGCGCGCGGGCAGTGGCGAATCCCTAATGGCGGACATTCGCCTGACTAACCGTAAGGATGGAATGTGGGATTTATTCGAAGCAGTCCAAAAATTCAATGGCCCCATACCAGTATTCCACCCGCAGTTCCTCAGTCAGTGCATATTGGCTGGGAAGAGCTCGCTCGTGCGACTCGTCCTTGCTGCGTTGCACAAGACGCTCAAGTATCTCATCCCGGGCGAGCCAGTAGACGACTATCTAGGGCTGAACCTGGAAGATTTCTACATGGCTTTCGTGGGTAGACTCTCGCGGCACAGGCGAGACGACGGACTGACATGAGCACACAGGCTACACAAGACCAAGTTCTGGAAAAGGCAGCCGGTTCTTTCCTGAGGGACGAACAAGACGACGAGGAGCATGACGAAGTTTTCTCGGAGCAAATAGCAGTGTCTATCAACGAAAAATTGATGAGAATCGGCATCCCTCAGCTCTCAGGTCACGAGCAGATCCAACTTGCGGACATGGTCGAGTGCGTGGCAGTGGTGGAAATGCATCGACGCTCTATGGACGAGAACGGGGCCCGATTCATGCTCTTCTGCCGCCAGAATGCTCTGCGCAAAGGTCGGACCAGCGAGATGCACTTGTCTTGGAGAGAAATCAACTGGGCCTATCATTCAGGCAGCCAGGATTTGCTCGTGGACTTTGTCTCCCGGCAAGCTCACGGCGAAATGTTGTGGGAGCATGCACGAGAGAGTGGCATCTTCATGTGGCTCTCGGATATAAATGCGGTGGTAAGCAACGACCCGACTGCAAAGAAAAGGTGCATGGCAGGACCACAAGTAACGCTGCGCAGAAAAGCCAATTCGAGGCGATTGCCAAGAACCTGTACACCAACGGCGATGTCAAAAACCCCGTGAACTGCAGCCTATTTTACGTGGCCCTCCGGAAGAAGACGGTGCTGCAGGGACTGTGGCGGACAGCCAGTGGGAACAAGGAGCAAACGGCCACTCAGCGACTGCTGGCAAACGACTTTGAAGATCCGAAATGGAAGAGAGCCGCTCTGAAGAACGCCTATGCGTTGCTAAGCAAAAGACGTTTTGGTGAGACCGTCTCTGCTCGTGCACGGCAATCCCGGCTCTAGTTAACGATGAGCAGAGTACGCGGCCGCCTTCTTTCTCCTGGCCGGCCATCTAGAGGACGCGGTCGAGGTCTGCCTACGACAACTTCACGACATGCAGCTGGCCATCGCCGTTGCCCGAGTGTATGAGGGAGACGGCGGGCCAGTCCTCCAAAAGATCCTCCGCGACGAGGTGCTCCCTTTGGCAGCCCAGGAGGGCAACCGTTGGCTAGCATCCTGGGCCTTTTGGACGCTCGGCCGTAAGGACATGGCAGTCAGAGCCCTTGTTGTGAGTGGCTTCCTTTTAAACCCCTGCCGTGTACATTGACGCCGACGTTTGAGAATGACAGATGCCGGTTTACGCACTTCTCGAGACGCCTTGTTCGCCGGACATCAAGTCGCGCCTGTTCCTGACTGATGATCCTGCGCTCGTCGTTCTCTACTCGCAGCTGAGACAGCGGACCCTGCAAACGTTGAGGGGGGCTTCCAAGGTGACGCCCAAGGTGGAGTGGGAGTTTGTGCTGCATAGTGCCAAGCTGTACGATCGTATGGGTTGCGATCTCCTTGGCCTAGATCTAGGTACGCTCGCAATGTCATGTCAGGCGATTTGACGACCGATGAGCTGACAGCTTGACAGTGCGCAACTGGGAGTTCCAACAGCCGGCAGTGGCTGGGTTTGGCGGAGAGGTGAATCCGCTCAAGCTGCTGCGGAGGAGGAGCTCGTTGGTGGTTGATGATTTGCCATCAATGCACCGGGGCCTCGAGATGCAGACACCCAAAGACGGCACAAAGACATCGGCGTCCCTGGCTGCGGCGGAGCCTGGGTTCCATGAACCCGATGCAACGGCATTGCTCGACAGTTTTGGCTTATGAGCGTCGACAAGCTTTGTTGGGTTGGGGTATGGGAGCCGTCTTGGACGGGAAACAAACCTCCGTTCCCGGAGTGAAGTTTTCTGGAACAAGGCAAAACTTTTGCGGTAACGCTTCCGCTTGCTGTTCTCGCGACCTCCCGGCTCTCTGTCTGCTCTGCCGCAGAGCACTAGGGTCGAGGCGAAGGAGCATCACGGCTAAGAACCGTGCATGGCACTTTGCGATGTTGCTTGGCAATACCGCAGAAATTACTTGGCTTGCCCTCCAGGTAGGGAGGCAGGCAATCCCTGAGGGCCTGTCGCTCAGGATGTTAGCAGGGGCAATAAGACCTGAGGAATTTGATAAAACTGTTATTACCTACCTGCTTTAACGCTCTTGCGCGGGCAAGGTCGCTGCAAGAAATTGTAAGAGCCCCCCGGGCCCCCCCCCCCCCCCTCTTATTCTGAGAGAATTAAGCAGGCGGGTAATTAATTAAGTCAGTTCCAGATTAATAATAGGCTTAATTGAACACTTGAAGTTTCTATTACTTTGGAGCCTCGGCACGGGACAGTCGGATTGCTTAATAAGCTAACCTCGACTGAAGTGCGCGTCGTAATTACATGGTCAACAGTAACCGCGCGCCTGGTCCTCATCAATGTTTCTCACGGCGATACGCAGTAATAGCTGTTCTCCTTGCGAGCCAACGGGCCAGGCAGGATAGAGGATCCATCTTGCTCAGGTCATCGACGACTTCACTCCCACCCGTACTGACACAGAGCCGCGCTGTTGCGCAGCTCGAAGCGGCAGTGCCATTTCGTGCACTCCAGCATGGAGCCGGCTCCGGCCACGGCCTCGTTGCCGCCTGGGCGACACTTCACAGTCCGCAGTGTTGGCGCGGGCCTCGGAGTAGGTACGGTGATATGCGCGGCCAACGTCTACTTCGGCCTCCAGACGGGATGGGTGTCTATCATGTCCATGCCCGCCAGTCTCATGGGATTTGGCATCTTCAGACTGTTGCGTCGCCACCTGCAGCTTCCCTTCACCCCTGTCGAGAATGTGCTGCTCCAGAGCGTTGCCTGTGGTATGGCCATCATGCCTCTCGGCTGCGGTCTTGTCGGCGTCGTCAGTCTGATCCACGCTACCCATGTGCCAGGCAAGCTCTGACGGAGCTGTCACAGATACCAGCAATGGAGTACTTGTTGAGCCCTGATGAGCAGGGCCCGCTTTCTCTCAGCATCGCTCAACTCATCGTCTGGTCGCTGGGCCTCTGCTACTTCGGTGTCGTCTTCGCCGTGCCCCTGTGAGTGCTCGTCCTGCCCTCAAACACTCGGAAGGCGTGCTGCTTGCTTCTTGTATTGCCCTGGCTTATCTCCTCTTTGCACGCAGTCGACGCCAGGTCATCATCCGTGAGCGGCTCAGGTTCCCAAGTGGCTTCAGCACCGCCGTGCTCATCTCTGTTCTCCATGGTCAGGGCCGACCCTCTGCAAGCAAGGAGACCCTCGATGCGGCTGCACGGGGGGGGTTTGCCAGCCTGGTGCCTCGCGTTGAGCCAACGCCATTATTGAGAGACGCCGACGAAGCCGAAGCCGCCCAAGAGCGCGAGCCGGGCGCACAGCAGCAGTCGGCCGAATGGGCAACCAACATGCGCACCTTGGTCCTGTGCTTTGGCATTTCCGGCGTCTTCACAATTTGCACCTACTTCTTCCCAGTCCTGCGCAATCTACCCATCTTTGGCGCCGCCGCGGCCCAGACCTGGCTCTGGACACTGAATCCCAGTCTGGCCTACGTCGGACAGGGCATCATCATGGGCGCCGAAACAACGCTGCACATGACCCTAGGTGCCGTCGTCGGTTGGGGCCTTCTGAGCCCATTAGCAAAGTCCAAAGGCTGGGCCCCGGGGCCTGTCGACGACTGGGAACACGGAAGCAAGGGTTGGATTGTCTGGGTTTCCCTGGCCATTATGCTCAGTGACGCCATTGTCAGTCTCGGCTACATCGCACTCCGTCCCGTCTTGGGCAGCAAGTTCACCGGCTTGCTTGAGGCACAACTCCGCGGTTTCCGCCTTGGTGGTGTCAAGAGCTTGTTTCGGCCTCGTGCTCACGAGTATGCGCCCGTCCCAAGCCAAAACCTGGAGGGAGACGAGGACTCGTCTCAAGCCCAGGCTGTCGAGGATCGTGACGAGCAGCAGCAGGTTGACGCCCCGCCCGAGCAGCGCATCAGCGGCAAGCTGGTGATAGGGGGGCTCGCTACGTCCGTCCTGCTGTGCATTATGACGACATATTTCGTGTTTGGCGACCTAGTGCCTCTCTATGCAACCGTCGTCGCCGTCGTCATGGCACTCCTTCTCAGTATCATGGGTGTGAGGGCGTTGGGCGAGACGGACCTCAACCCCGTCTCGGGCATCAGCAAGCTGGCCCAGCTAATTTTTGCCTTCATCGTTCCACAATCAAACAAGTCTAGCGTCCTCGTCAACCTCGTTGCTGGGGCCATCGTAAGCCCGGCCCCTCTCCTCCCTCTCGCTCTCTGATTGTTGTTCCCGCGTCACGTCACCGCACTTATTTTTGCTTTTACTGATCAGGCCTCTGGGCGAATCGCAGTCGGAAGCCGTAAGTCACCCACTTGATGGCATGGCATGAAGCGCCGTCGCACTCACGCACATGAAACAGGGTGCACTGCAGGCCGGGGACCTCATGCAAGACCTCAAGACGGGCCATCTTCTAGGAGCAGCCCCGAAGGCACAATTTTGGGGCCAGGTCATTGGTGCTACTGTCGGGGCCGTTTTAAGCGCGTTTCTATATCGCCTCTACACCCTGTAAGCCGTTCGTTCCTTCGTCTGCTCCTCCGTCTCTGGGGCCGGGAGCGACTGGCACGTGCACGGGCTTTGGAATAGCCGACATGTTCTGATCAGTCGAATCGGCGTAGGGTCTATACGATTCCTGGTGAGATCTTCCAGGTCCCGACTGCGTACGTCTGGATCTTCACCGCCAGGCTGGTCACGGGTAAGGGGCTGCCGCCAATGGCCAAAGAATGGGCGGCAGGTGCAGGAGCCCTCTTTGCTTGTACGACCTTGGCCAGGACTGTCTCGGTCGGGAAGCCATGGCGGCATTGGGTTCCAGGAGGCATTGCTGTTGCTGTTGGTACGTTATCAGCCAACGGTGGATTACAGCCATCGCTTACAAGCAACAGGCATGTACAACATCCCGTCCTTCACTTTGGCCCGAGCTGCCGGCGGATTACTCGGTTGGTACTGGGTCCGAGTCAAGAGGCGGTCTAACACGCCACTCATAATCCTCGCATCTGTACGGCTTGTGTCTACCTCTCGAGATGCAGACGCTAACCCGTTTGCAGGGCTTCATCCTCGGCGAGGGGTTCCTCAGCATCGTGAACTTGACCATGCAAGGCCTCAGGATCCCCCATTTCTAGACTTGCTAGTGAGATCCTGTACCCGCAAGAATAGAGTATGGTGTTTGTCGGAGGTCCTGTCCGGGACAAGGCTGAACCAATGGTTGTCCCCTTTTTCATTTCAGTTCCCACGACTGACTTCTCTCTTGGCCCACCGATGACCACGAAGCATCAATCATTAGCGCTCGAGAGTTCTGCTCGAGTACCGAAAACTTGATGCTGCCAGACATGGGGCACGAATGAGGCAGGTCCGGCGGCGACGCCTGCGGCGCTGCAAGGAGCAGTCCATGCCTCCAGTGCGTCTCCGTGCCGTATGGGCCAGTCGTAAAGGCGATGTTGCCCCGCTTGTTGCTCCTCCATACCTCTGGCGTGGTCTGCGGCGCGGGAGGCTGTTCATTCCAGCTTGTGGCGAAGAACATGTCAAACCAAATGAGAAACCCGTCGATGTCATCAACACGTCGGTTTAGTTTTGACACCCAATCGGCCGTGAAGACCAGGTCCTCCTTGCGTGTATAGCGTAAATCCAGGATTTTGAATGGAAAGGCATCGCCGCAGATGGAAGCCGATGGCATGGTCTGGATGCAAACCTCGTCGTAGACGCCCTCTTGCATGGCCTTCATGTCGAACCCGTAAACGTCTCGCCAGTAGGCGACGTAGTCGGAGATGTAATGCTGATCTTCAATAGGGGCGATCCACAAGGTGGCCGAGCTGGGTACAAGTAGACCCTCGGATTTGAGATACTTGTCTCTCGCATATAGCACGCTGGGGAGCATGGCTTCGTATAGCAGACAGTATCCCATCCATTCGCTGACGATGATGTCCACCTTGTCAACTGGCAGCGTGACATCTTCGATTGCACCTCTGAGGCAGGTCACGACGCTGGAGAGCCCATTGTTGAAGACGTTTTCCCTTGCCTTGTCAATGATATCTGATTTGTCGACTGCCAAGACTTGGGCCGCCCCAGCTTTGGCGCAAAACATGCTTAGAATCCCTGGGCGCCCAGGTAGAGGGAGAACAGATTTGCACACGGGTCAGAGCTGCGACCAAAGGCGAGGCCCACAAGAGCAGGGACGGGCGGAGAAGATGATACGAAAAAGCATGAGCAAATCAACGGCCGCAAGGAGCCTCACCTGTGCCACAGCCGATGTCTAGGACCACTTTGCCTTTGAATAGATGCTTATTTTCGTAGATGAAGTCACGATATGCGTCGGTGCGGACTTTGTCCTTGAGCATGGTTTCGTGGATATCTTTTGCGAGTCAGTGAAGGTGAGCGGTACAGGAAGAGCGGCTCGTACCATGCGTTGCGTATGATTCAAAGTAGTAGTCGGAATTGGGCTCTGCTGCAGCGGCCTGGGAGGACACGGCGGGTGTCGAGTCTAGGTCGTTGTCGTTACCCCAGCGCTGATCCAAGGTCTGGTGCACCGTGAGGCGATAATCGGCGAAGCTGCTCTGGATTGCCTCGAGCTCGGCCTCGAGCTGTTTGTTGCGAGCGAGCAAGGCCCTTGTCTGCTCATCCGCCGCGTCGGCAAGGTCGTCAGTGGCTTCTAAAACATCGTCCAAGGAAAAGAGGACGGCATCGTTGTCCAGGACGGGCTTCAGGTAGACGTCATCCTTGAGGTCACTTTGGGATATGACATCTGGGAGGGACTGCCCCTGCTGCACGCGGCGGCGGATGAAGTTGACGAGTTTGACGGCGCCAAGAAAGTCGAGCTGCAGGCGACGGACGTTGGCCAGAAAGTCAAAGCCGTGGTGCTGCTTGCAGTGGCCAAGCATCTCGTCTAGCGTTTGGAAGCTTTGCGAGTCGAAGAGCGAAACCACTGCTTCGTATTCCTCCTCGGGCTCGACGTCAAGCCAGCCGCTATCATTCGATGCGTCTGAGCTGCCGTCCAGCGACGCACGATCGACCATGGCTGCGACGACGGGCAAGACGAGCAGACGAAAGAGTTCAACGCGACGAGGACGGGTAATGGCAACCGAACTGACTGGATATGCCGGGGTCACGTTGATGCTTTACATGAGCTGCTTATTCTGTGTATTTTTGAACTTTTTCCCCCAGCCCCGGTTTTTCCACTCGCTGCCCCTACCAAAAAGCCCTGGCCTACGCAGATTGGCCCAATAGCATAGGTACCTATCTAAACTTCTAAAGTAGCTAGGTGAAGATGACGCTCCGTCAGTTACTGTACATGCTATACACAGCTGGCAAAGTAAAACCCCTATTTGTATACGAATACCTGGGGCTTTCCACGGGTGCAGCTGAGCACTGTATCTAACCCACGGCACCTTACAGCTGAAGACACCACCGTCTCCATGGTAACAGCTGCGAAAGGTAAAGAACAAAGTCCTCTCAAGTTAATGTATCCAGCGTTCGTTCCAGATTTGCTTCTATTTCCTTGCGGCGCAAGCTCTTCGAGCGCACCCTGCTCCATGCAACAAGTGCAGGTGATGCCCCTGCGCTGCCGTTGTTGCTCGTCAATCGACGTCGTCACCTGAACCGCCTTGGCTCTCCCCTGGGTCCTCCTCCCCGTCAGACACGGTTTCCCCTAAATATCGGAGACGAGCCTGACCGATCTTCGTTAGCAGTCTGCACGCCGCCGGTGTATGCTGCACAAACTCGCTCACTTCGTATTTCGCCAATCTGTCTTCCAAGTCGCCGAATACTATCAGCAGGTCATCCAGTTCCGACTGAGCGGCTTCCTGGGACTTGATCGCCTCCAGCCTCTTCGACTCAACCTGAGAAATCTGCTCAGTCTGACCCTCTTCTGTATATGGGGCAGGAAAGCACTTACTATCTCGACCTTTTGCTTCATCTCCGCCATCGTCGTCCTCGCTTGATCAAGTTGTGACTCCAATTTCTGGCTTCGTTTATCGTCCCCTCTTTTGGAAGCATGTTCTGCTAGTAGTCTGGACTGCTCCTCCCGTAGGGTTTTGATTTCATCATCCTTTTCCTTATTCACCTACTCGTCCCGTCATTAGAAATATGCAACTTGGCACGCTCGGGGAAATCCCTACCGTTGTCAATTTCGCCTCGAGTTGGCTGATCGCTGCTCGTAGGTCCCCCGCCTCGGTCTCCGACTGCAGCCGCACGCGTTCCAACTCTGCTTGAGCCGCTTTGCGTGTCTGAGCCAAGTCGTTCTGATAATCGGCTTCTTTAGTAGCGAGGTCTCCGCGCATGGACGTGATGCATCTTTCCAGATCCTTTTCCTTGTCCAACTGTTGGCTCTGCAGCTCGCTGTTACATTGTTAGCTCCGGTCTGCCTGGCCCTGTAAATTGTACGCACCGTAGTTTTGCCTCGTGGGCCTTCTGCAAACTTTCGTATGTATCTTGGGCCCTCCAAAGCTCATGGGCAGCAGCTTCGGTTGCCCGTCGGTGCTCTATCCGTTCTTGGCCAAGCCGCTCTTCCAGGGACGTTATTCTTTCCATCGTGTCATGAAGCGCTCGATCCTTGTCCTCTATCTGCTGTCGCAGCGAGTCAACCAGCTCCCTTGATATCCCTTTCTGGGTACCGTTCGTGATGACCGATATTTCCAGTTCCGGTGCCCTGTCGATTGCTCGTGTTATTCGACTGTAATTATCCTTCAAAAACTCGACAAAGTCGGCATCGAAATATACATCAGGAAGCCCGCTGGACGAGGAGGGATCGGCTTTCTGAGCCATCACCTCAAAGTCCCGTACGAGCGGATGGCCGCGCAACCTCTTGAGCCGGTCTATGTATTTGTCGCGACCCAGTCGGGAAGTGAGAATTGAATGAAGCTTGGTCCGCGGGATAGGGGAGTCTTTGGTCGAGAACTCGTACGCCACACCGAGCAGCATCGCGCACAAGCCTTGAACCAGCTCCGCTTCGGCAGACGGAGGTTGCAACACCGCTTGTATCAAACCCTGAACATTACTCCCTTCCGCCAGGAAGTCGTTGACCGCGTCTAGGTCTTCAAACAGCCAGCTCAGGAGGAGCATCATGTATCCGACCAGCGAGCGAGGGTCGTCGCTGCGGCCCATGCCATATATCAAGTGCGCCGTAATGGTCTGGATGCTAGTGACAACCTCTTCACCCTTTTCCGAGTCTCCTTCGCTCAGTTCCAGGGCCTTGGCCTTGGCCGGGGCATTTTCGTGCAACAGTTGAAAGGCAATGACCGCAGCAAACCATTGGCGATATGGTTCGCTGGCACTGGCGCCGCTGTCTGGTCTCATGAGAACAGTCAAGATGTTCGCGGATTCGTCGGTCCCTTGCCGGTAGCCATCGATGGCTCTACTCAGAAAGTGTAGCCTCACTTCTGAGTGGTTCGAGAGATATGACTTGAGGCACTCGCAAGCTGCAAATCGGAGATCGAACGTGAGCGGGTCATGAGTGTTCAAGACCAAGTCCAAGAGCCCGTCGATAACGTAGACGGTGCTGACCCCATTGCGCGTGCCTACTGCAGTAGCAGGTGTCTCTAGGGGAGGGGGAACGGTGAACCGGGCGAAGTCCTCTTGAAGAACCGGTGCATCGCGAATCATGTCACCACAGGTGAGAAGAGCCTACAAGGCATTATTATGACGAATTCCACTGAAGAAAAATTCGGGCACGGTGTCCACACCTCTGCTCTAACGGGCACATGCCCCATCTCGCGCGTAAAAGCTAGTTGTAGGACATGAAAGACCAGCCCGTGCTTCCAGAAGGCCATTTGGTTCAGCGATGCGCCCGCTGGCTCGGAATGTAGGAAGAGTCGTATCACGGCAAGAAAGGCATATATATTCCGATTGCGCTGTACCTCGGCCCATGCGGCGATGTTACCCTCCGGAGCCTGAGTCTCCAAGGCCATCTTCAAGAGATTTGCCAGGTGGTTCATGCAATCTGATTCTCGAAAAAGAGACTGATTGGACGCATTGCGGCGGAGGAGATTGGCCATGAGGATGAGGCAGTCCTCCACGGTTCTGCCCCCTTCGGTAAGCGAGCCCTCGGCGTCGACGATGTCAAAGAGTCTCTCGAACGCATTCTCGAACGCGACTAGCTTCTGCAATTCCTCAGATGTCGGCGTCAGGCCAATCAACAAGCTAAGGGCCTCGTTGCGGATAGCTTCCCGAGCGTCGCCGAGAACAGCCACAAGGCGGGAGATGCCCAGGGGCGCGTTGAGCACGCATTCCTCAGTACGCTGAGTGCGAGCTGAGAGTATTGCGGCGAGAAGCTGGAGGGAGTACAAGCGGGAGTAAAAGTCGGTCGACTCAAGGAAACCCAGCAGCAGCAGGGTATTCGAATGGTGTTGAGTGAACTCGTCGGCGAGCCACAGTACTATCTCGTCCGAGGCTTCGGGGCTGTCGTCGTTTGGGTTGAATAGCATCAGCAGGGTCTCGAGCACGACCTTGACCGTATCGACATCCTCGCCATCGTCTGCCAAGCTCCCAATCAGGCTTCTCAGGGCACCAGACGCAACGGAGGCTGGAAAGTCTTTGGCAAAGCTCCTGAGACCCAGGATGGCCGCGCGGCGATCCTCAAGTAGGGCTGCAGAATTGAGGCGGCCGCTGAGAACGTTGATGGTATCGCTGACAGACTGCTTTGCCGGCGCCGAAGCAATAGAAAACATGATGCGAGTGGCTGGCGGTAGGCGACGGGCAGGAAGCACTTCTCGACGTTGCCCGAGACCAATTTGGCCGCTGTGCAAGCTTGATAGAAAGTGAGGTCGGAGATGCTGCAACCTGCCTAGGCTTATAACTGCTTCCCTATACGTGGTTTTAAGACCTAGTTCCCCTACGTACCCCCTTTATCCTTATTATAGATAATAGCGAGATTAATCTCTATCCCCTCATTATATATTATGCTATTAAGAGACTTATTAAAGGTAATAGTAATATATTAATTATTAAAAAGAATTAGTATTTAAAAAAATATAATTTAAAAAGTAAAAATTTTATACTATTACTTATATATAGCCTTTAAGGCTATAGTAAGGCTAGTAAGGGGAGCCGCTAACTAATAAGCCTAGCTAATTATATAACCTTAATAGCTTATAATTAATTAAGGAGTATTTTTCTTTATATAAATATAAAGATAATAAGGGAAAGGTTAATTTAAATAGTCCTACGCTATATTTTTTCCTCCTATTACTAGGTTCCTATACACCCTTTATTTTCTTATATTAAGGACTAAAGTAGTTATAAGTATTAAAAGGTATTATAGCGTTATAGCTATAATAGCTTATTATTATATAGCGTAAAAGCTATTTTATTATATAGCTTAGTATTATAAGTAAGTAAAAGTATATATATAAGTACTATTTATAGAATAATATTAATAAGCTATATAGAGCTCTCCTATATATAGCTAGCCTATATATATATATATAAGATCCGGCCCTTTATATATAACTATATAGCTTAAGCTATAGCCTAAGCTTAGAACCTATAATAGTTAAAGACTTTTATATAATGCCCTCCCTTAAGCGTAGCGTAGTACTACCTAATTAATAGCTTCTATATAATTAAGCCTATACCGCTAGCTTTACCCTACCTTTTCCTATTAATCGTGCTAGCCTTACTAGCCTTATTATCCCCGCGCTTATTAGCCTAAGTAGCCGGAACCGGGCTCTATACTTATCGGCCGGCTAGCTATTTAAATAAAGGCGTAACCTATTTTTATATTTTTTATATTATTACTCGTATATAGCCTCTAAGGCTATAGCGAGGCTAATAGGGGCCTAGGCCCCTATTAGTAGTCCTAGCTAGCTATAGAGCCTAGGGGCTTATAACTAATTAGGGAAAGGGTAGCTATAAAGGTAAAGATAAAGGAAAGGTTAATTTAGTTCCTCCTATATAGTGTTTTTTCCCCCCTAAGGGCCCTAGGGCCCCTAGGTTACTCTTTTTCGAGCTACTTAGCCGTTCCTATCTTTATTTTAGCTAAGAAGGTTAAAAGGGCTTCCCTTCCTTCCTTAGTACTATAGAGAAAAGGTAGGCTAAGGGCCTCCTTCCGTCCCTTCGAGGCCCGGTAAAGGACCTCTCTTTCCCTCCTATAGTTCGGGCACCTTAGGATAAGGTGCCTAGCCGTATACCTTCCTTAGCTATAGCGGTAGTTATCTCGGCCTACCTTATTAACCCTCTTTAAGAAGGATAATAAGAAGCTAGCCCTAAGGAGAAGTTAGTAGTAAGCCGAAAGGGTCGGCCTAGGCCTTCTTATAAGGTCCTTTTCCGGGCTAAAGGCTAGGCGGGGGGTCTTTCGAATAGATATATAGTACTTACTTAAGCCTTTAGCCTTAGGGCCTTTAGCTGCCTCGGTAGCTTAGAGGCCCTTTTAATAGTCCTTAGTAGCTTATCGGACCTTTCTTTATAGGTAGCTAATAGAGACTATAGGGGTCCCTTACGTAGGGGCCCCTAGGCCTCTCTTAGCTAGCTAGTCGGCTAGCTCGTTACTAAAGATCCCTAGGTAGCTAGGGCACTAGTATAGCTATATATTATAAAAGGCCTCTAGGTTCGTTAAGAGCCTTCTAATATATATAGCTAGGTCCGAGTAGCCTTTAGCCTTTTATATAGCGGCTTAGCTATCTATAAAGATATAAGCCTTTATAGGGGGGTTAAGGGGGCTAGACCTTAGAGGCCGAGGCCTCTTAGCTAGGTCCTCTAAGACCCTTAGTATCGCGAATAGCTCTACGTTAGCTACTTTAATAAAGGGCCCTAGGTTCTCGTAGTATGCTTTACTAGGCCTATTTTCTAGGCCTATCTTATAGAAGGAGTAAGCGTTAGTCTCTATAGGGGACCCCTTAGGGCACCCCTTAGAGCCGTCGGTATAGAAGACTAAGGGCCGTAGCCCGAAGTCTTCTAGGCTAGCTAGGTTAGCTAAGAGGCGTTAGTGCTACTTCTTAGCTAAGGGCTTAGGGGCCTCTATTATCGTAATAAAGGCCTTAGGCTCTAGAGCTTATAGGGGCTCCTAGCTAGCTTTCCTTCTTTCTAAGCTATAGTTAAGCCTTATAATAGCTACTAGGCCTTTAAGGAGGCGGAAGAGTTATATATAGGGCTTAATATAGCTTAGGGCTCCTAAGTTAGAGCCTAAGTCGGCGAGGTTATCCCGTATAGCTAGGTTATAAGCCTACCTTATAGGGTGATTCGGTAAGAGGTATAGGGTTCGAAGGGCATAGGAGAGGCATGCCTTTTTAAACCGTACCTTTAGTAGTAGGAGGGCTACTTTAGCTTCTAGGGCCCTAATACAGGATCCTTTAAAGGCCCCTAGGACTTTTAGAAGGGCCTAGTTTTAAAGCCTTTAGAAAGGCTTTATTAAGCTCCTAGGGGTCTTAGGCCCGCTATACTAAAGCTAGGCCCTATAGTCTACTATCGAGGTTACGTAGGCCTAGTAAAGCTACCTCGAAGCTCTAAACGATAGGCCTCTTTATATAGAGACTAGGCGGGATAGCCCTTTAAAGGCAGCTTATACGGAGGCTACCTTCTTTTTAATATATTATTTAAATAGGAGCCTAGAGTTAAAGAAGACCCTTAGCTACCGTACTAAGGGCTTTACTTCGAAAAATAGGCCTCTTACCTTTATACCCTTTAAAATAGGCTGCCTTTGCCTACTAAAGTAAAAAAGTTCCGTCTTAGAGGGGTCGAAATAGACCCCTTAGTCCTTAGCTTATTTAAATAGGTTAGCAGCTATAGCTTCTAGCTGCCGGGCGTTCTTCTTAGCCGAGGTCGACGTTATAAAGATACTAAAATCGTCTATATAGGATAGCTAATACCCCTTAGCCGCTAGTATCCCCCTTACGTATAAGAGGAATAGGATAGGGCTAATAAGGGATCCTTAGGGTACCCTTATTACTAGGTCCGTTAGGGGTTAGGTTTACCCCTCGAAGGCTAGCTAGATCTTCCTTTTAGTAAGGAAGTAGTCTACCTAGCTTATAAGGGCCTTAGGGAGGTTTAATTCCCTTAGGACCCTTATAAGCTATTCCTTTAATATAAAGTCGAAGGCGCCTTTTATATCTAATAAGAGGGTGCTAGTAATAGCCTTCTTATTAGACTCTTACTTCTTTTAGATATAGTATAGAAGGAGGAAGGCTATATTAATAGCTAACCGCTATTTTCGTCCCCTTAGCTACGTAGGGTTTAGAAGCCCGGCCGTATTAGCTAAGTAGCTTAGCCGGGTAGCGTATAGCTTTTTAAGGACCTTCCTTAAGTAGTTAAGTAGACTTATAACCCTATAGGCTTTAGGGATAGTATAGTCTAGCTTATTTTACTTAGGGAGCATAATTCCTATAGCTTCCTTCTACGCTTTAGGGTAGTATCCTTAATTAAATAGGGCTTTATAGGCCCTATTAAAGACTATAGGAATAACCTTATAAGCGTATTAAATAGGAAGGAAGCTAAGGGAGTCTAGGCCAGGGGCTTTCTTATTAGAAGAGCTAACGATAGCCCTTTTAATCTTAGGGTCCTTTAGCTCTTACTAGTCTTACTTAGCCGTGCCCTTACTACCTATAGGGCCCGGGGGCTTTTCTTTTTCTAGGCTCTAAGGGGGGCTAGGGGGGCTAGGGCTAAGGTCTAGGGTTAGAAAAAGGGTTATTAGGAAGGCCTCGTATTTTTCCGTAAAGGTATTAGCTTTTACCTCTATCCTTTCTTTTATATACGAGATACTTAGAAGGGTAAGGTTAGCTTTAGCCTTAGTATAAGAAAAGGCTATAAAGACGTCCTTTTCTACTACTTCTACTAGGAAGCTCTCTTAGTATTACTTTTTAGCAGCCTTAATAGCGTACTTAAAGCTATTTTAGGCCTTTATAAAGCTCTTCTAGCTCTCCTCGTCCTAGGCTAGCCTATAAGCCCGTTGGGCTAGGCTTAGGGCTTTCCGAAGGGAGGTTAGCTCGTCGGTCTACTAGGGTTTAGATCCCTTATAGGGCCTCTTTTTCGGTATCGCTACGTTAGAGGCCTCTATAAGGGTTCTTGTTAGAAGGGAGGCTATCCCCTCTAAGTCGTCTCGTTTTATAGCCCTCTCTATAGCTATAAGGAGGTCCTATTCCTTCTTAGCTAGGTGTTCCGAGAAGGCCTTCTAGTCTGCTTTCCTATAGTTATAGGTAGCAGGCCTAGCTAATAGGGGCCTATTAGGGCCCCTTAAGCTAGCTTCGAAGGCTATAGGCTTATAGTCTAAGCCTATAGCCTCTAAGAAGCGGAAGTTAGCTTAGGTTAGTTGCTTAAAAGGGCTATAGAAAGCAAGGTCTATAACCGAGGTCCCTTTTAAGCCTTCCCTTTAGTAGGTGCCTTTTATAGCTACTATAAGGAAGTATATATATTAAAGTATTATTATATCTTTTTAGCTAACCTTTCGAAACTAAGCCTAAAATATAAAAAAAGTATACGCTTAGAAACCTCGCGAATAGCGTAATTAGTTATAAGCCCCTAAGCTCTATAGCTAGCTAGGACTACTAATAAGGGCCTGGGCCCCTATTAGCCTCGCTATAGCCCTAGAGGCTATATATAAGTAATAATATAAAAATAAAAAAAAGAGGTAAAAGAGGTATTTTAAAAGCTTAGCTAAGAGTAAGAAAAATACCTTACTAACTAAGTTCTTACTTAGGCCGCCCTTATACTACCTTTAATATATTATTAAGTTAAGGAATTCGCTAGCTATATTATTAAGGCTAGCGGCGATACTTATTTACTTAAGAAATAGTAGATTTTAGGCTTTTTAGCCTAAAACCTAGAGATAAGTATTATTAAAGGTAGATCTCTTAATTCTACTTATATTAACGGCGCCTTTATAGCCTATATTAAGGAATAGTTTTAATTACTTTAGCTACTAGCTATATAAGTAATCCTACTAAAGTCTTACTTTAATATAAATAAAATAAGTATCCTTAAGGGCCTTAGCTTTAATAGTTTAGTACTAAGGAGCTTAAAGAAGTAAGAGACTCTTAAAAAGTAGCTAGGATTATATTATTAAACTATAATAGTTAAATATATCTTTATTATAAGCTAGGCCTTAACTCCCTTTATAATATTTAAGGGTTAAGACCTTTAAAATTAATAGTTCCTTAATAAACTTAATTTTCTATAAGATTAAGACTTTATTACTTTTTTAAAAAGCTAAATAAGTAATACTATTACTATTTAATAGCTAAAGTAGGTCTTTATCCCTTAAATAAAATACTATAAATAAAGTAATACTCTTATTATTATTAATAGCTAAAAGAGTTATTAAACTAATAATTTTATATATAAATACGTTTAAAAAAAAAATATTCTTTTTATATTACTATACTTTTTATATATCTTTTAGCTACTTAATATCTTAGTTTTCTTACTTATTAAGGCTATATATTAATATTAACTTAAGAAAATTATATCTTTTAATAATATAGCGCTAATTAATAAGGCTACCTTCCTTTATATTTACTATAAAACTTAGTAAGCTAGTCGAAAAAAATTATTAAGGGAGGTTAGTATAGGTCTAGTTTATAGCTAATTAATATAGTAAAGCCCTTATTAAGCCGCTTTATCTTACTATAGCTATTTATACTATTAACGCTATTAAAAAGGAAGAATATTAGCTCTTTAGCTAATAATAATATACTTAAAACGCCTAAATAATTATAAGAAGTCCGCCGCCTTATTATAGGGCTAGAAAATCGCGTTTAAGTTAACTATATAATCTAACTACTCTTTAATAAAGTTAGCCGCGCCCTTAATAATTAAAATTAATAGCTTATAGCTACCTAGCTTTAAATATAATAGCTTAAGTATTAATTATATTATCTATAGCTTCGAAAATAAAAAAAGGTTCTATAGGATCTTAATAGCCGGTTTATATAGATTAATTAAGTTATTAAGACGAGGTAGCGGCTCGAGCGCATCCTCGAGCCGGCTACTATTGCTATAGCTAATTAGGACGTAGATTTTAAAGCTCTATATAGTAGCTAGTAGCTTAAATAGCTAGAAAACACTATAATTAACTATCGTAACGTTTAAATGCGGCTTTAATTACAGTTAGAATATGCCTGCCTTGGTGTTATAGAGAGTGCCGGTGTTAGGGTGTGCCGGACTTTAGGTGGGCTGACTTAGTTACGACACACTCACTCACCCGCAGCAGTATCTGACCGCTTCAAGCGAAGCCGCGTGCACACCAAGGGCACTACGACGTCAACCAATACACCCGTCATCGCCGTGGCAGTTACCCGCTATGTCGATTCCAAATGAAGCTTTGCACAAGGTCCGTAACCTGTCGCGTCATGCGTGCCCGGGCTCTCAGCGCAACCGCGGCGCCTCCTGCCCAGGCCCTCTGCAAGCCCCTCTACCTCCTCGCCGTGTCTTGGTCTTCTCGTTAACACAGTGCACTGGCTTGCCATGTAGCTTGCGCGTGAGATCGAGGCGCAGGCCGTGGCAGCCCAGCAACAAATTGGTCTTGCCCGAACCCAGATAACGTCGAAGCAGCGTGAGCAGCGCCTAGTGCGGCTGACCCTCAGCGAACTGGGCGGCCTGCCCCAAGACGCTGTCATATATCAAGGCGTCGGCAAGATGTGGGTGCCTTGTCTTCGGGCTGACCCCTGAACGCAAAGCAGCCTCGACTGCCATGATTGCATCAAGGACTGACGGCCCACAGGTTTGCCCTGACGACTTTGCCATCGCTGCGGCAAAAGCTGGAATTTCAGACCAAAGACCTCGAGTCGGATGTCGACAAACTCAACAAGCGGCTGGTGTACCTCGAGACGACGCACAAGAACAGCCGCGAGCACATTGAGCAGATGCTGCGCACACGCTGAATGACGAATGTTGCGAATACCTGCACTCATCAGTGGCTCTCTCCGCCTGCAACGTTCCCCCTGTGATGCTTCACCACCATGAGAAGGTCCGGTTGGACAAGATACGTTGAGCAGGGCGTGCACGGAACACCAGCCGTCAGGGCGGAGATGCTGCATCTCCATGCCCGGGCTTGCGTCTGGAATCAAAATGTCGACGGGCGGTTACGACGGCGCCCACGTCCTCCAACCCACGAAGTGTACCATTTTCCAACAATGGCCGCTCCCGCCTACCTTCGCGAGCGGACCACGAGACTTAGTTGGGACGGCGGCAGCCAACAACGTGTATTTAAGATTATGACCGCCATGATGAGGCGCTTGCCCATGGATCACCATTGGACAGGCACAGGAACAGGATACCCGGTGTCGTGTGTCTGCAAAGCTGCCAGTGCTGCACTGCTACTTCATTCCTTGCTCGAGTAGCATCGGAAATTAGCCGCCAGCCGCACCAGGCGCTTATCCATGGGCTCCTCCCCACCCTTTCCGACAGTCCACACTTCTCAGCCCCGCTCAGCCTTACGGAGTAGGAAGCGCAAAATTGGACCAGTCCCCTAATAGGCTGCCTTACTCGCTGACGCCACGCCAGTCTTACATGCATATGCGCATCCATAATAGATAGACAGGATATTTCATGGGGGGTACTTAAATATACCATACCCGTCCTCCGCCCTTTGGCGCTACATCCTTTTCCCTCCATCTCCCCAACCCTCTGATCTCGGACGTTCTTGACGGCCTACTCGGCTGAGCGAGACCCACCTCTCTCATATTGATACTTCGTTGAACCTCCCATATTTTTCTTCCTCCACCGTGGCCAGTCACAAGAGTCATGGCTGGCTACTACGACGACGACGACGTTGATATCCACGTCCGCCACCGGGGCTACTCGCCACAGCCAATTCGCTACGTTCAAAGTCCTCCGCGTCCGCGAGTCCATTATACCGTCCCGGCTGCGCCTGGCTATCTCGTTCCGGAGCAGCACACAACTGTCGTTGCTCGCTCGCGTTCCCGCTCCCGCGAACGGCCTCGGCCCAGTCCCGCAAACCCAGTCTTTATCAACAACAACAAGTTCTATCGTGAACACTCCTCCGATGACGACGATGTCAGCGAGGGACGCCGCCGCCGCTCCCAACTCGTCCACCGCCGCCACCGCCACAGCTCTGACTCCCGCTCGCGTTCCCGGTCCCGCTCTCGCTCCCGCTCTCGTTCTCATTCCCGCTCATCCACATACAAAACACGCCAGGAATGGGAGGCCGAGCAGGCATGCCGCGAGCTTGAGCAGCTTCGTCTCGTACAGTCCCGTGACAAAGAGGGCCAGCGATTGGCCAAGGAGTATCGTGATGACGCTGAGCTGCAGCGCGCTAAGCGCGAGCTTGATGACATTAAAGGACGTGAAGCACGTACTGAGGAAGAGAAGCGAATCAAGAAGGAGCTTGACCTGAAGCGACTGAGGGAAGAGGAAGAGGCAGCCCGAGAGAAGCGTCGTCGCGACAAAGAGGCGGCTGAAGCCGTCGAGCGCTACAAGCAGCAAGAAGCCGATCGCATCGCCTGCGAGAGGAAGAAAAAGGAAGAATACGAAAAGGAGTACAAGCGTCGTCTTCAAGAGGATCTTATCAGGTCGGGTCTCGACGAAAAGGCCATTTCCGCGATTGTCAACAAGCAAAGGATTCCAGAGTCACCCCCCGAGCCGGCTGCTCGCCCGACCTACACCCGCATGGCACGTAGACACTTGTCCGTCGAGACCTTGCGAACATTTCGCGTCGACTATGACATTGACTCTGTAAGTGTTGCCCTGGCCCCAAAGGGAAGCGATAGCCGTCACGTGTCATGCGCCAGTATCGACTAATCCCCCCGACAGGACCCGGAGTACGTCTTGATCAAGCGTTGGGTTCCCGAGTGGGAACAGGATCAATTCTGGAAGCATACCCGATATATTCGTGAAAAGCGCAGCGGTAGCACTTTGTTGATCGAAGAAAAAAAGCACAAACATCATGAGCCCGAGTTTGAATGGGTTCGCAAAAAGAACGACCGGAAGAGAAGCAAGTCTCCGGGTCTTCTCATGTATCTCGCAGGCGCTCGTCCCGCTTGATTCTTCGAGGATCCTACAGACTGCCCATGGCAAGGAAGTACAGGGGACTCGGGCCTGCTGAAGCCGCAAACTCAGCTGACTGGCTGTTCTCCACTCCTTGATGTTATAGCTTCTCCCCAATCCATTTGAGTTGATCAAGAAACAACATTTCATGCCGTCACACTCGATTTACGGATGAGTTCTTCGTACACTGTCCAGGCCAACGCTGAGCTGAGAGCTTTCCGACTCATGCGCAAAGCTAATCCATTCCAGAGCGACCGGAATCCGTCTTGGGCCACCATGACAGAAGCTGCCTGCCATATGTTCCTAAACTGATGCGGCTGGAGCTGTATTCGCGTCTTGATGGCGTCGAAGGGGTTGGAGATTGCGGAACAGGCGGCTCCCGCGACAATGGCTGAGCTGAAATTTATCGAACTTGCCACTGGTCCTGATATTGTGGCGTGTCCGGTGTCGAGGTAAGAGGTGAACACCCAGGAGTTAATCCGCTTCTTGAACGATTCGTAGATCACTACATACATGCCAGCGGATGGAGCATCTCTGATTGCCGTTGCGCCAAAGCCCGAGAAGAAGCCACGAAGACCATCGGCCCGTTGTATTTCTCGGGCCGCGGCTATCATGGACGGATACGAATACAGACTGGACTCGAATCGAACCTTGATAACCGTCAGAGGCATGAGGCAAAATCCGGCAATCGTTCTGGCCATGGCACCGGATACCAAATTGGCCGTATAGGTCAGGTCGGGCAGGGCAGATGAGCCACCGGTTTCCCGGCGCCACTCTTCAGCATCGCCCATCTGTTGCACATGCTGGCGGATTGCATTGAGCGAGGTAAGATATAGAGCAGAGCCGAAGCCAGTACGCAGCGCTGAAGGAACCGTGCCTCGCCACAAGGTGCGGATAAGCTGGGAGGATCGTCTCGCGTCTCGTAGACAAGCAGAGAGCGATGGGCGGCCCGTCTGTTGCACCCGGGTCTTCAAGAAGTCGAGAGGTTGCAAAATGACGGCCGACGCTATGCCTGATCCAAGTCCGGAGGCGAAGTGAAGTCCTGTTCGGGACGGGGGGCTGTGAGTGATGCTGCACCAAACAGACCCTGGGGACCAACCAACCTGGCTTGGCACGGGCCGGAGATCGCGTCTCGTTCATTGTCGGCAATCTCGTGCTCCCATTTTGGTTGATGATGCGAGCAACAAAACGAGGGCGTGAGGTAAGCCGTGGGGGCAGTGGCAATCCCTTACGTAGCATGCAGCCGCCGACTCCGGTCCGGGGAGATATGTGTGATGTACTACTTTTTTTCCTCACCTGGTCGTCTTGCATAGTCCCGCATTTATTAGGTGCATGGATTCTGATTGGCCGAAGGCTCCTCGATAGCCGCGCTGTCAACCGATGCTGCCCATTGCCAGTATCATTCAATATGCGGTGGCAAGACGGGGCACCAAAAGGCATTGCTTGCCACAAATGCATGGAGGCTGGGAGGGGAACATTGGCGGTTCCCAGAGCTCGACGCGTGCCGATTCGCCCGGAAAGAGACAATCAGGGGGCGGCGCTATGTCTCAGGTTGGGGGGCACTCGCAGTCGGAATGGTAACTTGGTTGCCTCGGTAGTCTCCAATGACGGACTCGAGCCGCCCTGCCAGTAGGCGATGGCGCTTGACAAGGTCTGCCCACTCGTTGACGCCAAGTGCGGCCAGAAGCAATCCAAAGTCGGCGCCAAGCCTGCCCAGACTTCCGGCACAATAAAGCACCTGGATGATGATGCTGTCGCGAGATGTCTGGTCTTTGACATTGGGCAGATATGTGCGTAAAGTATCGAGCAGCAGACCCACGAGGTGCAGCGGAAATGTAGGCAGAGTTGAGGGTGGTGTGTCAAGAGCATTGTTTCCAGCGCTCGACGACGATATGAAGCTGGCATCGACGTTTTTAGACATTGACACTATACCAAAGGCATGCTCGCGAAAAATCTCGATAAAGCGTTTGAGATAGCGCTCCGTATGTTGGCCCCCTGACCAAGCGCTAGACGATTTGGCCTGGCGGAGCCTCTCTTCGACGGCAAGCTCTCGCAGAGGCTCCAGCGCGGCCAGAGTCGTTAACAGTGTCATCAAACGGCATACGAGAAAGAGGGCCGGCAGTGTGTCATCTGAGTGGACGCCAGGCACGAGGTCGGGCAGTATGCGTTTGAGCCAACCGACGGTGCGAAGTCCCGCAGCAAGCTTGAGACCGGGTGTCTTGAGGGCGACAATCAGATCAGTTGCCATCTGGCGGATAGCTGCGTCGGCCTCACCCAGCACAGACGAGACGAGTGGAGATCGAGGGTAAAGCGAGGCGAGGCGTCGAACGTGGGCGTGTAAGTCGAGAGTTGAGGAGTGGCTCACGGGGATAGTATTGACGGCCGAAGTCAAGAGTGGCGGAAGCTCCATGACATCGACTAAGCGTTCAGCGTTGTGTAGCAGTCTCAGTGCCTCCTTACGTCGGGCAATTGTCTTGCTTTCGCTCGTCTTGCCAAACGTTGTCGAGAAGGCGTCAGCGGCGGTGTCAAGTCGGGGAACTGCCTGGCTCAACTCGGATATCCTCTGGCCTAGCACGGGCAGTGTTCGCCGCAGAGAGGCATGGCCGGCTGCCGAGTCGACAATGGGCTTGTGGGAGCGCTTGGAGAGAGCCTGCACGGATAGTAGCAGTGAATGGGATGCCTGGGCGAGGCGTTGTGGCTCCGACGAGCGGAACGTATCGGCGGGATGCTCAGCGAGGCTGGCAAGATACGCCAGAGCCGTGGCATCTGCGGTCTGACCAAGGCCGAGCAGGTCACCTAGAGCCTCGGACATGATGCTTCGCCCGCCAAGGTTGATAAGCGGCCGATGGTTGCCGTCTTTTTCAAACGGGAGCCTATAGAAAGCGGTGTGTGATTTCTGTCCGAAGAGCTTTAACCTAAGACTGCCTTAGGCAACAAAGTGAGAAAAGGTTGTATTACCGCACAGGGGAAAAGCGGAAGATCTCCTAAATGCAAAAACTCTTTATAATTTAAAGGGGGTCTAGCCAGCCGACGTGTCTGTTAACCAGCTGAAAAAAAAGGGGCCTATGTTATTTATTAACCGGCGTGCAGGATTAGATAGACAGCATACAGGAAAGCGGGGCAGTGTAGATTGTTAAGGCGCAACGCCGATACCGCATAATTAGGTGCGCACTTTGCCCGCGCCTACTACGCGCCCCCCTCTATACGCACCTTGCAAAGTAAAGCTATTCGCACCTATAGGCACCGAGGCAGGCGTAGGCTGCTTCCGTAATTTATATATATTTAGGCTCGAGGCTTAAAGATATATTATTTTATTAATTTAAGAGCGCCCTACCTACCTTACTAAGCCTACTTATAAGGGTACTTACCCTTATTATAAGTCTAGGTATAAGTATTGCTTTTTATTTTTATTTTTTTATATTATTACGTATATATAGCCTCTAAGGCTATAGCGAGGCTAATAAGGGCCTAGGCCCCTATTAGCAGCCCTAGCTAGCTATAGAGCCTAGGGGCTTATAACTAATTAGGGAAAGGGTAGCTATAAAGGTAGAGATAAAAGAAAGGTTAATCTAGTTCCTCTTACGCGGTGTTTTTCCCCCCTAAGGGCCCTAGGGCCCCTAGGTTACTCTTTTTCGAGCTACTTAGCCGTTCCTATCTCTATTTTAGCTAAGAAGGTTAAAAGGGCTTCCCTTCCTTCCTTAGTGCTATAGAGAAAAGGTAGGCTAAGGGCCTCCTTCTATCCCTTCGAGGCCCGGTATAGGACCTCTCTTTCCCTCCTATAGTTCGGGTACCTTAGGATAAGGTGCCTAGCCGTATGCCTTCCTTAGCTATAGCGGTAGTCGTCTTGGCCTACCTTATTAACCCTCTTTAAGAAGGATAATAGGAAGCTAGCCCCGAGGAGAAGTTAGTAGTAAGCCGAAAGGGTCGGCCTAGGCCTTCCTATAAGGTCCTTTTCCGGGCTAAAGGCTAGGCGGGGGGTCTTTAAATAAACGTATAGTACTTACCTAAGCCTTTAGCCTTAGGGCCTTTAGCTGCCTCGGTAGCTTAGAGGCCCTTTTAGTAGTCCTTAGTAGCTTATCGGACCTTTCTTTATAGGTAGCTAATAGAGACTATAGGGGTCCCTTATATAGGGGCCCCTAGGCCTCTCTTAGCTAGCTAGTTAGCTAGCTTATTACCGAAGATCCCTAGGTAGCTAGGGCACTAGTATAGCCGTATATTATAGAAGGCCTCTAGGTTCGTTAAGAGCCTTTTAATACATATAGCTAGGTCTAAGTAGCCTTTAGCCTTATATATAGCGGCTTAGCTATCTATAAAGATATAAGCCTCTATAGGGGGGTTAAGGGGGCTAGACCTTAGAGGCCGAGGCCTCTTAGCTAGGTCCTCTAGGACCCTTAGTAACGCGAATAGCTCTATGTCGGCTACTTTAATAGAGGGCCCTAGGTTCTCGTAGTACGCCTTACTAGGCCTATTTTCTAGGCCTATCTTATAGAAAGAGCAGGCGTTAGTCTTTATAAGGGACCCCTTAGGGTACCCCTTAAAGCTATTAGTATAAAAGACTAAGGGCTATAGCCCGAAGTCTTCTAGGCTAGCTAGGTTAGCTAAGAGGCGTTAGTACTACTTCTTAGCTAAGGGCTTAGGGGCCTCTATTATCGTAATAGAGGCCTTAGGCTCTAGAGCCTATAGGGGCTCCTAGCTAGCTTTCCTTCTTTCTAAGCTATAGTTAGGCCCTATAATAAAGGGCCCTAGGTTCTTATAGTACGCCTTACTAGGCCTATTTTCTAGGCCTATCTTATAAAAAGAGCAAGCGTTAGTCTTTATAAGGGACCCCTTAGGGTACCCCTTAAAGCTATTAGTATAAAAGACTAAGGGCTATAGCCCGAAGTCTTCTAGGCTAGCTAGGTTAGCTAAGAGGCATTAGTACTACTTCTTAGCTAGGGGCTTAAGGGCCTTTATTATCGTAATAAAGGCCTTAGGCTCTAAAGCCTATAGGGGCTCCTAGCTAGCTTTCCTTCTTTCTAAGCTATAGTTAGGCCCTATAATAGCTACTAGGCCTTTAAGGAGGCGGAAGAGTTACGTATAGGGCCTAATATAGCTTAAGGCTCCTAGGTCGGAGCCTAAGTTAGCGAGGTTATCCTATATAGCTAGGTTATAAGCTTACTTTATAGGGTGATTTAGTAAGAGGTATAGGGTTCGAAGGGTATAGGAGAGGCATGCCTTTTTAAACTATACCTTTAGTAATAGGAGGGCTGCTTCAGCTTCTAGGGCCCTAATAGGGGATCCTTTCAAAAAAAAAATTTATTATATCCTTTTAGCTAACTTTTTAAAACTAAGCTTAAAATACGAAAAAAGTATACGCTTAAAACCCTCGCGAATAGTATATTACGCCCCCCTAAGTATAGCCTCGCGTAGCTACTAGCGGGTGCGTAATATACTACTAAAGATAGCGAGCTAGGCTAGGTTTTCCCCTATATAGGTAGAAAACCCTTCCCTGCCCTCGCTAACTAATACGTACCCCCGTAAACGTAACTAAGCCCGGACCCGACCTAGGACCCCGGCCTAGGCCCTAGGCGGGCCCCCTCGACCCCTTTAATATAAGGGACGAAATAAGTACCCTAGAGGCTAGGGCCCGCTTAAAAGAAGCCTTAGAAGGCTAACGCCCCCTAAGAACCTTAGAAGGGAAGCCTAAAGCCTAAGACTAAGACTAAGGCTAAGAGGATATTAAGATAGAAGATAACGAAATAAGCTTAGTACCTACCTAGGTTACTAGCCCGATCTAGCCTAGCGGGCCTAGCGGGCCTAAGATTAGTATCTTTAGGCCTAGCCTATCCCTGCCTTAGGCTAGCTACTTCTAGCTAAACTAGCCCCTTAAGTAGGTAAAGGGATAAAAGAGGGCTGCTCTTAGTAGCCCTATTAGCCCTACGCCTACCTAGCTTATACTCTAACGCCTATAGTAATAGCAGCCCTAGCCCTAGCCCTAGCACCCCTTCCTAAGGGACCGGGCCCAGGGCTTCCTTTAATAGGCCCTCTAGGCCCTTAAGGAAGCCTAAAAAATCGAACCCTTTTATAAGACCTTTATAGAAGGGCTCGAGCAAAACATCATCACGTCTTTTCAGCTAACTTTTCGAAACCAAGCCTAAAATACGAAAAAAGCATACGCCTAGAACCCTCGCGAATAGCATATTACGCCCCCCTAAGTGCAGCCTCGCGCAGCTACTAGCGGGTGCGTAATATGCTGCCGAAGATAGCGAGCTAGGCTAGGTTTTCCCCCGTACGGGTGGAAAACCCTTCCCCGCCCTCGCTGACTAATACGTACCCCCCGCAAACGCAACCAAGCCCGGACCCGACCCAGGACCCCGGCCTAGGCCCTAGGCGGGCCCCCTCGACCCCCCCCCCCCCTTTAATATAGGGGACGAAATAAGTACCTTAAAGGCTAGGGCCCGCTTAGAAGAAGCCTTAGAAAGCTAACGCCCTCTAAGAACCTTAGAAGGGAAGCCTAAAGCCTAAGACTAAGACTAAGGCTAAGAGGATATTAAGATAGAAGATAACGAAATAAGCTTAGTACCTACCTAGGCTACTAGCCCGATCTAGCCTAGCGGGCCTAGCGGGCCTAAGATTAGTATCTTTAGGCCTAGCCTATCCCTACTTTAAGCTAGCTACTTCTAGCTAAACTAGCCCCTTAAGTAGGTAAAGGGATAAAAGGGGGCTGCTCTTAGTAGCCCTATTAGCCTTACGCCTACCTAGCTTATACTCTAACGCTTATAGTAATAGCAGCCCTAGCCCTAGCCCTAGCACCCCTTCTTAAGGGACCGGGCCTAGGGCTTCCTTTAATAGGCCCTATAGGCCCTTAAGGAAGCCTAAAAAATCGAACCCTTTTATAAGACCCTTATAAAAGGGCTCGAAAAGGCAGCTATAGGGACCCTAGACCGCTAATAGCCCCTATAACAGCCCCCGTACTAGCCTAAGGCCACCTAGTAGCCTAAGGCCACGAAAGGAAATCTTAAAGCTAGCTTATAGGCTAAGGTCGCTATAAAGAAAGCGCCTAAGGCCCTAGCTAAGGCCCGGGCTAAGGCCCCGGCTAAGGCCCTAGCTAGGGCCCTAGCTAAGAGGAATATAAAAGAAGACTTCTAGCTTATCTTAAAGCTAAAGAAGGGATCGCTAACGCCGACTATTAGCCCTATTACTCTTCGTAACGAGCTTAATAAGGCTATAGGGGAACTAGCTATATTAGCTCTATTAACTTTAAATAAAGGTAATATAGTTATAACGATAAAAGCCCCTTATATAGTAAAGAAGCTTCTAGAGTAGCGGAATAAGTAGTCCCTATACCTTAAGGGACTGCCTATTAAATCGGCCGACCTCCTTATTAGCTAGACTAAGCTAGTAGCCTAGAGCGTCCCTAACCTCTTAGAAACCCCTATCCTTAATATCTTCGCTATAGAGGCTAAGACCTTTAGCGGGATCGATATCCTAGGGCAGCCTAGGTAGCTAGGCACCCTAGGCCTAACGTAAAAGGCAGGGTCCGTTATCTTTATAGTCCCGTCGGAGGCTATAAGGGCCGAATACCGGAAAAAAGGCCTCTATATAGTAGGCCTATAGCTTTAAGTTAAGGCCTATAAGGAATATACTATACGTACGTAGTGCTATAGATACCTTTCCTTTAGCTATAACCCCCGGACCTACTAGTAGCCTATTAAGTATGCCTTTTACCTAGAAAAGCACCTAACTAGGGACTATAGCTACCCTAGCTATAAGGCTAGCTAAGGGTGCTCTTACTTTAAGGTTTAATACTATAACTATAAGGGAGAACACCTT